GTAAAAAACTCGCTTTTCCGGTAATCCTATGAGAAGTCATTGCTCAACGTGCCTCTTGTCCTCATTTTTTCTCTTTCTGATGTGGTTAAAAGGGGAAAGCCTTAAGTGAAAATGCTTGGCTGCTATTTAGTTTAATTTGAAATATTCTTTTTACAAAAAAGTTTCGTAAACTTGATAATGCAATTCCTAAAAATATTGGGACCACCTAAAAAGATACACCTTACTTTATATACCACAAAAAAGGGAAATCGAATGTCAATTCACTGACAATTTTAACATAACATACTTATCTCTATATAAAGTTACGATCTTGTTCCCTGGCATTTTCATAATGTGAAGGGAATTTTTTCCTGGGCAGATAATCTTCATACAGCAGTCGTCATGCTTCGAGTGGTATGTTTGTAATTTTGTCCACTCTTTTTTTCAGATAGTAATGTGTCCCTTTTTCAGTTTTATATCATTGCTATTGAGGTCGATCGCAAATTAACAGCAAACGTATACCAAATTTGGTCAAGTTAGCTGATTATGAAGAATTAGCCTGGGGATTTGGGTCAATCAGAAACGAATGAATATTCTGGATGAACAATGACATATTTTTTTTGTCTATGGGCCATTCCCGAGTTGCACCAATCCTCTGTTTCAAAGAGAGGCTAAGTGGGAAGCTATTGACATGAAAATGATTTTATATTTTCATGCAAATAAAACTCACTATAACAAGAAAGGTTTTACACTTAGCCTCGTTCTCAAACTGGGAGAGTTTTGTAGAACTCGAGAATGGCCTATTTCAAGTTGTGCTAGGACCGTAATGTAAGTGCAGCTGCCTTTCTCTGCAATTTTTGGCTTATTGTGTGTAATGTTTAGTACTTTTATGTTGTATGGATTGGAGAAATTAAATATATAAAAGTTAAATAAAGGAAAGAGGAACTGATTACTAGACCACCGTACTGTCATTTAGTCTTTGAGGGGCGTTTAATCTGAAACTGGTGTCTAATAGGCTTTGATAGATTATCCTAGCATAATTTTTGGCATAATTCGAAGGCAGCTGCCTCCCCTGCACCTGTTGAACCAGACAAATCAAGTCTGTGGAAGGATTTTGTTTTCTTTAGACTCATTAATTTTGATTGTAGTGACTTGCAAATGTTTGCCACTTTCACGGCTGAGAAATGGGTTGGTTGACGGTGTGTGCAAATATTAAGCAAATATTGTGCAAATAGTAAGCAGTACACAAAATGGCATTCTTCTGCTGTTTGTTAATTGTTGCTTTTGTCCATTCACGGGTTAAGATGAACTCAACAAATTGGCCTTTCCCCAATGTATGGGTCCTCATAGCTAAGTTGGTAGAGCACTGCAGCGCTAACGCAGAGGCCATGTTCGAGTCCCGTTGAAGTCCCGGAATTGTTCACGGGTTAAACTGCAATTGCTTAAATTGCAATTACCACTGCGTCAATTATATCTTCATGTAAATGTGAGTTTTTAGAGTTGTTGGATAATGAATTATGCCCTCTGAAAGTATCTGCATGTACATAGTTTTTTAATTTACTTAAGTATCGTAAATGACACAATTGCTTGGGTCCTTTTTACGAAAAAAATTCACCTAGTAATCCCTTGCGGAACTATGCAGGAACGACAGACGTAGTTTAAGGGGAAAAGACCCAAAAATAGGTCAAGGACTGACAAAAATGAGTTGTATTATGGGGAACGCAACATGGTACAACTATACCACGCTAGTCAGCAAACGACATAGAGTCGACCACAAAAACGAAACAAATTAACGAGCTTCTTTCTTTTATAATGCTAATTTTTTTCTTTTCAAGATTCCACTGCATTTTTTGTTTAAAAACCAGCATGGGTTTTTTTGTTCCAAGTGACAGTTTGTTGCAAAAGGACAGGGTACCATTCTGGCGTGGTGCACCGGCAGATTAAAGACAGGACCTATTTTTCCGCGCTTTTCGCTATCCTGGGACGTAGCCCTATTGAAATGGGGTTAGGGAACATGGCACCAGTGAAACAATCACGGAGTTAAGTAAACAAAATACTTAGGTGTGTACTTAATTGAAAGCTTTTAATGGACAAGGTTTGCTCCAGGGCAAGTCGTTTTATAAATGGTCTAAGGCAGGCTCGCAATTTTGCTACTCAAGTTGCTCCCGCCTCGCGTCTTGCAAAACGTTTCGTTTGCAAACGGTGTCTTTTTAAATAATTGAACAATTTCTTGCGAGCTGATTGGTTCATTTTTATTATCGAGGTTACAGATACAAAACAATTCAATAATCCCCGTGTAAAATGGAGGAACGTTGTGATTTTCCTATAATTAGGGGAGCTACGAGTTCATCAGTAATTTTACCGAAAAGTGCAAACCCCGTTAAAAAATATATACCAGTCATGAATGACGAATAGGTTTTTTGTATAACTCGTTTGAAAAAATAAGCATGTATTTATTTATTTGTTTATTCATTTATTTATTCATTTATTTAGTTGCTTAGTTAGTTAGTTAGTCAATCAGTCAGTTAGTTAATGGGTTAGTTAGTCAATCGTTTAGTTAGTTGGTTATTTTAATAGGTTAGTCAGTCAGTCAGTGAGTTAGTTAGTTAGTTAGTTAATGGGTTAGTTAGTCACTCATTTAGTTGGTTGGTTATTTTAATAGGTTAGTCAGTCAGTCAGTCATTCAGTCAGTCAGTGAGTTAGTTAGTTAGTTAATGGGTTAGTTAGTCACTCATTTAGTTACTTGGTTATTTTAACAGGTTAGTCAGTCAGTCATTCAGTCATTCAGTGAGTCAGTGAGTTAGTTAGTTAGTTAGTTAATGGGTTAGTTAGTCACTCATTTAGTTAGTTGGTTAGTTAATAGGTTAGTCAGTCAGTCATTCAGTCAGTGAGTTAGTTAGTTAGTTAGTTAGTTAATGGGTTAGTTAGTCAGTCAGTCGTTTAGTTAATTGGTTAGTTAGTTATTAAGGTTTCGTCTATGATACGATTTCCCAGATTGAGAACTTGGGTAATTATTCCAAAAAAAAGACAACAAAAACTGCCAAGGAACGATCCCCGGCAAAATAAAGCAAGGATGACATACAAGCTAAATGGAGAATCGAAAATGAGTTGCCTTCTTTCTTTTCAATGTCCCCCTTACTATAGTCTGAAATGTCATAAGTCTCCTCGACCCCCTAGGGAGGGAGAGACGCGCCCCCACGAGTCAGAGGGTGGAGAGGTACAACATTTCAGTTTACCCATGCAAATGTGGCTATGCAAACTGCATTTGCATTTAATTGTAAGTGATACCCTGAAAATTATGCAAATAAGACTATAAAAGAGGTTACACGTGCTCCCTTTAATCACCCTAATCGAGTCCACCATAGAATAGATACGTAAGCGACCCACCCCTCCCACTCCACAAGTAAGGGGTTGATCCTGCCCGGCGCCTGGTCTTTCCCAGGACTGAGTGATTCCCCATATTTTATTACCAAGTCATGAAAAAATACCCATTGTAGAATATTACACTATTTCATACCATGAGAAAGTTTCTTACAAAAGGCCCATTCTGGTTGGGGCGTTTCCCGGGGTCGACTGCCATATATGGGCTATATAAGTATGTGCCGCTGTGAAGGGTATGGTTTTCAAGCAGTTTACTCTGGGATAGCGTATATAAATCAGAGAGTTTAGGTCTAGAATAGGGTATCATTTTCGAGGAAACTGATCAATTGGTTGAAGATTTTATATAATTTAGTCTAGACTAGGGAAAAACGTCCCCAGCGGCGAAGAGCGAAGGAGAAACGGATGCTTTCGCAGGCTAAGGGAAACCGGGGAATTGCCACTCAAAAATAGAAAAAAATCAGGTCGGCAAGTTTAAATTTACGCAACTCAGCCTAAAAGCTACTCTACGATAGTGGGGGGGGGATTTGGGGAGTTTAGTCTAGTATAGGGTAGCAAAATTCAACTGAACTAGCTATGGTATAGGCTAAGGGTTCCAGCCCAGTGGCACATACCCACCCAAAGTAAAGTCTAAAGTGCCCCTCCGGGGGGGGGGGGCCTTTGTAGCTGGACGACAAAAGCTATTTGATCAAGCCTTCTTGCGCTTTTTGAGGGACTCAGTGACGCCATGAAGGGGGGAAAGAACATGACAATGGTGAAACAATCTTTGTTCTGCACTCTTCATTTCAATCATTGGCAAGCGTTGATAACAGCAACTCATTCAAAGGTAGCAACACATACAGCATAATTTCAAATTCTATTCTCAAGAAATTTTCGTCAATCGTAAGCTACAAGAGCCATTATGGCTCTTGTAAGCTACAAGTTTCTATGAAAAAAGATAGAATTTCACGGCTAATGGAATTGAATAGGACGTGAAATGACAGTTTTCTACAGAACGTTTTATAGTGCGAACACTCTAGGTATGTGCTTAAAACAGAAACCGTGGAAAAGACGACATAACGACATAGAATCAGCCGCCATCTTGTTTGTTAGTCTAAATATTTCGGGCAAGAAAAGAGCCTTCGTGGAAAGACGTCCAAGAGAGACCGGGACGTAATTGGCCACGCGCGTTTTTCCTTATAGTCCACGAATACAGCTGCCCCTTGCCAATCCCTGTCGCTGAGGACGGATACTCCCTCCGCTGGGTGTGTGCTTGTGGGTGAGTTGAAAACGCTAACCCCCACTCCTTGAACTACCCCAACGGATTACCCTTAAAATTCAACCAAAGTCACATCTCACGTGGTAAAGAGATACAATAAATCTACCTGCGTTCCTACGCTATAAACATCCGCCATCTTGCTTTTTCCTGGACCCAGTCGACCATTGGACTTTTGAGGAGGTGGGCGGGGAAGGTGTGGGTGATTTGGTTTGGTTAAGAATTTTCCCCGTCATATAACGGTGTAAGTTTTTTCCCAGCATTATACGCCATGAGATTTTTTTTTTAGTGCAGATATTTTTTCCTTGGAAATCATTCTGCAGGATGTTTTTTTTTCTGAAATCACCAATAACCCCCCCCCCCCCCCACTCTCAACAGCCAAATGATCCTCCGATGCCCACACTTTTGAATGACCAAAAAAACAATGGGGCGAGACTGAAAAAAGGTCGAGGAAACAGGCAACATGCAAGATGGCGGCTGTTCATGAATCAGTAGGCAGCGCGTTTTCAACTCACCCTATTCTTGTAAAATTAGGGGTTAGAATTTTTTAAATCTACCCAGCAGTAAATCTACAAAACAGCTACTTAGAATCCAATTTTTAAAGAGACTGTCTATAATATAACTGCAATTTAACTTAAAGTAATTCATTTGGTTGACGAAGATCGCGTTCCTTGACTTGTTTTTCTTCACTCAGCCCAGGCCTTTTCGACTTCATTCCAGTCCGTGTCAGACAAACCTCATTTTCAAAAAAAAATAAATATTTCAGGTGAAAAAGCCATAGCATGGAAAATTTTTATTATTTAATGAAAAAGCGAGTTTTGTGTTCTTTAGTCTTTTAGTTGTTGTATCGGTAGACACAATTTCAAATTTCGTTCTCTTAAATCCTTTACAGGACACTTGTCACAGTTAGAAAGCGCTGAAAAGTGACCACCAAAGATCACGAAAGTGTTTATAGTAAATCACACAGTGTAGCAACGTTAAACCCAGGTTGTCCAACCATCCTGTTCTCGTGGTGAGTGCCCCGATTTTGCTTGAAAACTCCGACGGGAATAGGAAGAATCCCGATTTTGACATCAGTTCTGATATTTTCATCCAATTCTTATGATACTTATACAAGAAATCGAAACAGAGTACACTTTTATAGTTTCAGTTAACGGATATAGAAAACTTACGAAACCTAACCGCAAGAAATTAATTAAAAACAAAATCTGCAAGTACTTGTACGCAAAGCCACGCAGAGCTAATAAAGGATTTGTGATTGTGTCCGCTATCTTGATGGTCAATTATTACAGAAAACAAGCCACACAAAAATGACGATCGATTTACCGAATATTTTTAACAGAGAATTTGTCCTGTACGAACACAGAAGAAGCCTTTCAAATCATCAAAATTTCAAATTTTCTGAGGAAGCATGTCCCATACCTCCCACCCTAGAGGCTCAGACCTTTGACGCTCGCGTTTTTCGGCTGTGGTTAAACTGAATCTCCCGAATTTTTATTCTTAAAAGGTTGGACAGTCTGTAAACCATATCAACTAGGAAATAGCTTTGGACATTTCTCCTAACACCTCCTTATCACCAGGCTGCATTTTCTCATGTACACTCATACTGAGGCACTTTCACCTCTGCCCTACCCCGCTGTCACAGTGATATGGGCATCCCCGCGTTTTGGGCATCCCCATTCCAAAAACCCTCGTGATATGGGCATCCCCTTAAATCCTAATCCTAACCCTAACCCACATCGCTAAGGTAATGTAAGAAGGGGATGCCCATATCACCACCGCCCTACAAAAATCTTACCCAGTCCAATGGTCTGGAATTCCTTTACCCTCAATCTCACCTGCAAGTAGCTTAAAAATAACTGCATATCCCTGAATCTTTTCCACTTCAAACTTTGTCATATCCACTGTGCGTTGATCGGGAGTTGCACTGAGAAAGATGCGACGAAGGAATGTGCAGTCGTCATCGTTAAGAGGTTCCTCAAGCAACAAGGTCTTCTGTTTCTGTGTCAAGGCTTTTTCAAACTATAATCAAACGAGAGAAAAGATTGCAGTTTCAATTCTCGGCTTGAAAATTATTTCAGGGGACTATTTCAAACAAAACACGTATGCAAAAGTGTTTAACTGCACAATACACTGCCACGAACATATGGGTTCGTTCTCAAACATTGCTTTAATTACGGTGCAATCAATACCTGAGAGATGTTTCAGTAGCTAAAATTTCTTCTAGTCTGCCTTCCCAGCCGACATTTCGGAATCACGATGCCACCAACAGTTTCCCACGAAATGACATCTGAGGATTAAGCGCAGAGATTTCATACTGATGACGAGTCACTACCCAGATCTTGGTCGTGCTTCTGATTGGTTGAAAATTTGCTTCAATCAATCAGAAGCCAACCACTCAGATCTGGATAGTGACACCTCAGGAGTATGGAATTTCTGAGCCCGTTCCTCAGACATCATTTCGCGAAGAGACTAGTGGTGGCGTCGCGATGTGTCGGCTGTTTTCTCAGGCTACTGCGTTCCACGTACTCAGGCCATGAGGCGCTTGCACTCTCTACGATATCCACTTTCACTTTTGCACTGCAATGCGTGCTACCTGCACTGGTGGCCCAAGCGTAATATGAGAGTTTGTATGGGAAAAATAGAGTTTGAAACTTAGATGAAATAAATGAAGTAAATAAGAGTCTCTTATTATTACACTGTCAGGTCAGATGATGTAAAAGTACTCAAAACGCGCTGAAACTTCGTAAAAACAAAGACAACGACTCCAGGTAACAATTTATTGATAACTTTTATCGCTTTTATTTCATTTATTTCACCTAAGTTTCAAACTCTATTTTTCCCATACAAACTCTCATATTACGCTTGGGCCACCTGTGCTACGTGCCGCGTAGACAGCCTTGATTATTCTGTATTATGGAAGGACTTAACATCCACAATAACAGCTGGAATTCGCTACTACACAAACTTGTTTGTTTGATTGTATGTTAGCTTTTTGTGTGTATAACATACAAAGAGAGTTGTAACTTGTGTTTGTTAGTTTGATTTTTGTGTATAACATACAAAGAGAGTTGTAACTTGTTTTACAATGATCTCACTAACCCAGCTGAGATACTTGTTGATCCGCGCTTTCCTCTCCGCTCTGTCCTTGCTTGGCTTCAAAACTGATGTCTTAATTCTCTCCAGCTTCTTGCTATCTTCGTATTCATCCGAAAAGAAATCTAACATGAAGAAAATACATGTATATAATTATGGTATCTTATATTATTGGATCACTTTCTTGACTCATACTCGCTCATACTTAGACTCGCTGTCATAAATCAACAAGGATAAATTTCTACCATCACGGAGTAAACATGGATATTTGTCATTTTCTTTCAGCATCCGCAAGGCCCAAACCTCTCTAAGGTACGAAAATATGTCTTTTCTAGGGGCTGATCAAATGAACTGGGTTAGCTCAATTTATAACATAGCTAGAGAATTCGCCTATTCAAATTCAATAGCGCAAGCGTGCTTCATATTCCCACTGAGCGCGCTGATGACGTCAATAAACTATACCGCGAGTTCTTGTAAGATTAGCAATCCTCCCAAGAAGTCTCCCAAGTGCATCATAACTCAACAGTACACAATGAAGCGTTAACCATGTGTTTTATAACGTAAATTTAAGAGAAAACTTTTGAATTTGCCAACCGATAGTAGGGAAAAGAGGTGAGTTCATGGATAATAGTCTTTCTATTATCCATGGTGAGGTTGTTGTTGTCATCTGCACGAGCTGTACGGGCTGTGGCGTGTGCAAATCATTCTTTGTAAAGTTATTTCTTTCAAAAAGAATTTTTGGGTGAAGCACCTCAATATGGATTTTACAATCTTTTTCACCGTTATCTTAAGCGACTTGATTAAACTTTCTCTCAGTTTCACTAAGACAAAAACATAATTGTGAGGTAAAAAAATATAGTCACGTAGACATTGACGCGTACTGCTTTGAGGGCGCGCTTCAAGAACAAAAATTTAAGTTAACTGCTGCATTTATCGCTTTGATAATGTTATAAAACAGTTAGTTCATGCTTCAGCTGTGCGCATGTCGAGATATTGAGCACTTGGGAAGTTTGGACGGCACTCAAGAGGCTAGAGTTACTCTCGGCTGCCCCTCGAGCAACTCTTACGCCTCTTTCGTGCTCTCCAAACTTCCTGCCTGCTCAATATCTCGACATACGCACGCTGACGTATGAACTAATTGTTAATTGTCGACATCTTGGCACAAAACGGAACAAAAATCAACTTCACGATTACATATACAACCGAGCCGGCCCGGTAAACTGGGATCCCCATATCGTGATTCCGGGACCCCAGCTAACCTTGCCTGAGAAAACAGCCGACATGTCGCGATACTACAACTGATTTCCCCATGAAAGGATGTCTGAGGAAGGGGCACAGGAATTCCACACTGATGACCTGTTACTACTTAATGTTTTCTCAAACGTCATTTCGCGGGGAAACCAGTGGAAGCGTCGCAAAGTTACCGTTAACTTCCGAAAATAAGCCCCTTCAAATATAAGCCCCCCAAACCGGTAACGCAAAAAACCCTCCGTTAAATCGCTCCTCCAAATATAAGCCCCCGGGGGCTCGTACTTGAAAAATTACCCTCAAATATTAAGTAAAACAAGGCAAAAACGGTAAATTTACTTCCAACTATAAGGCTAGCCCAATCGATTTTGAACATAAACTTCCCTTCGTAGATAAGCCCCTCCAAAAATAAGCCCCTCAAAAGCGGCCTTAGAAAAATATAACCCCCGGGGCTTATTTTCGGAATTTTACGGTATGGCAGTTTTTTCAGGCAACAGCTAAGCGGATTGGAACTTTTCAAATAATAACACTCGCCGGGCAAGCCAAGCGAATATTTCCAGAAACAGGACAGTGAGAAAGACACTGCTAATACGCACTGCTTCCAGTCACGCTGTGAACGTGGCGGATCTCGGCTCATAACCGGGGGGTACTTTTATACGGGGAGGTTCCGCCCCAAGATCCAACCCTTAACCATTTTATATACCTATTTGGGCAGAAAAATAAACCCGTTTACTCTAAATGGTACCTTTTTTACATACCTAATTTAGACTTTTGACAACCCTTTTAACTGGCGCAAACTCCCTGTCGTTTAAATATGAATAAATCACAGAACTAGAACGTTTTTTCAAATTTTTCACTGCCATAAAATCCATCTATTAGCAGAATTTCCTACCCTTTCTAATATTTCAACTAGTAAAATCCCTATCCTTTCATATAACTGAAGCCTGAAAAAGGTACCCCTTTCCGGAGGACCCCCGGGGGCTCATACCTACTAAATCGCTCTCCTCGTCCTCCTTCAGACCTACTGTAGTATTCTTATGTTCCTCTGCTTCATAGTCTTCAAGGTCTCTGTGGACAGCTATACCAACATCCTCCCCTTCTGGAAGTTCTAATTTATTAGTTTGTTTGTTGAAAACCACGCGGCAACACTTAAAGAGAACAGGCCCACGATTGTTTCTTTCCGCCAACTTCGGTGGAATGACGACCTTTTTTAAGTGTCCCTTCAATTTAGCAAGGAAAGCGTCTATTGGAATTGTAACTCCTGCGCGCCCCTCAACCTTAAGAATAAGATTAACGAGCAAAATGAGTATTTTCTTGAGCAGGGTTCTATCCAGGATTTATCGTTTGGGGGAGAAGTCCCGAGTGGCCGAAGGCCACGAGCTTCCTAGGGTGGTCCAGGGGCATGCCCCCTCCCCAAAATTTTTGAAATGAATATGTGCTGAGATGAATTTGGTGCATTTTGAGACACAATTTTGAGAAGTATTACAGTGTGTGCAGTGACGATATAGTTACTTAATACTGTACTGATAACAATATTAATTTTTTGGGGGGGAAGCTGGACATTTTGGGGGGGGGAGCTTCTACCCCTCAAATACCCTAGATAGAACCCTGTTGAGCCAATAATCAAGAGGGGCAAATAAAACTAGCCTTTACTCGGGCAGTCATTTGGTCCTTGTAGCGTTTATATACTTAACACAGCAATATGTAGGAAAATGTTCGTCTGAAAAAAAAAACAAGAGACTAAGACATGTTAGAGGTAAAACTCAAATGCCAGTTATTTATGTCCTCCAAGCCTCAGTCTCCTCAATTGTTCACAGGGGCCCACACAAACATTTTGGTGAATGTGGCAAAAATGAATTTTAGCGATTTGAAGTGTGTGCAACACCCTTTAAATCGCTACAATTCGCCGTCTTCTCCTACAACAACGGCAATACACAACATTTTAGGTAAAAATGCGTTCATAATAGTAGTAATAAACATTAACTCTGCTTGTCTTAGAGTGCCGGATTACATGCCTACGGCTTCCATAGTTTTTGAGATTGTGTTACTAATACTATTTCGCTATATGTTCTACCATAGATCGCGCGCCGTGATCTGTGGCTGCAAAGGAACAGGTCGCACATGAGAAAATCGTCGGAAAGAACAACTTTTTTCGGAAAAGTTCCGATGGAATGAGCTGTTAGATCGACGTACTTCAATCTTGTTTCTAACAAAGTTAAGTTTAAATACCTCAAGACGTCTTCTGCCTTTGAGTTTAAAATGCTCGCTGTAAACCACTGAGGTTATCAAACGCAGTTTGCGATCAATATACGGTTTAAATATGTTGATGTCCAGTTCTGTACTGGCCAATATAGCACGTAACTCCGCGTCTCGTATGTACTCTCGGTCTATTTTTCCCAGTTCCAGCTTTCCAAGTTCTCTGTTAATCTTAATCGTCGCACTCGCAGCACCTTCTACTTCAAATCCAGCGTCTATATCACTAAATTAAAGAGAGAAAAACACTGTCATTATACGATGCTCTAGAAACTGAAGGTTCTCGTCGTGCAAACTCGTCCATTGGCCTTACAATCGGTAAGCGTCTCCTGAAAACCGATCCTCAGCTCGCTGTTTCAGCTGTTAATCAAGAGCTTGTTATGTATATGTCTTGGGAAAACGGAAAAAGGGAAAATATAAATGCTTTGGACCAGATATGATCCTTAGTCGGCTGAGGATTACTTGAAAAAAAAAAAAGAAGAAAACTGACACCAAAAAGAAAAGACAACGTTGAAATCGTTGGACATTGTTATGGCTGGTAACTTCCAGCTTCCATCGTCTTCATTAGGTACCAAAAACCGGGGGGCTTCCTCGAGTTGGCATGCGGTAACGTCATAAGAGCCCAATATTGACTAGTCATTTTCCACATCCTTTTTCCTTTTTTCGGTGAATTCGGCACTTTTATGACCCACAATCAAAACGCAAATGAGCATTCATCAATGATCTTACCTTCTAGGTTCGGAGTCATCGTCGTCGTCATCGTCGTCGTCATCTTCGTCGCCATCTTCGTCGTCGCCGTCGTTTTTCAGCTCTAACGATTCTTCTTTTCCAACCTTTCTGGACAAAGCATCCTGAAGTTCTTCTCTTTTGCTTTCCTCTACGTACGCTGCCAATTCTGCAAGGATGGTGAGCTTATTCTTTTTGAACGGACGAAGCAAGACATTTCTTTCCCCTTTTGCCATTAGCGCAAGTACTTGTATTTCACGTGTCGCTCCTTGATAAATTGGGTAATATTCTTCATTCTTCCCAAAATTCTGCTCGGCAAATATTCGGAGCGCCCTTTCAACCATCTGCATAGGAGAAATGCATTTGAATATTTTGCCTGAATTTTCTTTATATTCACATAATTCGCAGCACATTAACTATCATTGGGTTTTCCGCATTTGCAGTTTTAGGACTAAAAGTTTGAGCTCAGTTTTTGGTTTTTCCTCTCGAAACTTGCCCCTTTTTTCAGTTTTTCAGTTTTTTTTTCTTTTGAGGGCGCTAAACAGTTTATGATATTTTTCAAAAAAGGAGCTTTGGGTTTCCATATTTTCTTCTGTTCCAGGTTCTGTATTTGTGCATTTCTCAGGTGTTTGTCAAAAGTTTTACTGCTAAGTTTTAAGTCATTTACAGAGACATTATAGAGACACAAGAATGGGATTTGGGAATTTGCCACTTTTTACCCTTGCAGAAGACTGCGTTTTAATTTTTGGCCTTCAAAGATTTTTATCATAGACTTTCACAGTTTTCATAAAAAGGTTTTTGCAGTGCTGCGGTTTTCAAAATAGGCCCATATTTCCCCCTCCTTAAGGAAATCTCAGTCATTATTCTGATTATTATGCATCACTTTTATCACTCTATTGCGCTCTATTACTCTCATATCCTATCAGGTGTTTTCTGATGCCTGTAACACAGGAAAAAATAACGGATTCCCATTTTGGGATATTTTTGGGTGTTTAAAGAATACCCATAAAAATCCCAAATTTGGCAAAGTGAGACAAGTCCCAACCACGGAATTTCCAACCAAGTTCCCAGATTGGGACTTGTCTCACTCTTCCAAATTTGGGATTTTTGTGGGTATTCTTTAAATACCCAAAAATATCCAAAAATGGGAATCCGTTATTTTTTCCTGTGTAATATGTTGAATGCCACTTCAATGTAACCCTCTATTGACCACTCCAGAAAATACCATAACATACCATAATGTTGTTTGTTTGTCACCCCAAAATTTTGCATAAACATTGTCTTCAATTTCTCTTGGGAGTTAAAATGGGCCCCAAGAGAAACTGAAAACAATGCTTATGCAAACTTTTGGGTTGACAAACAAAGAGCATTATGGTATGTTATGGTATTTTCCGGAGTGGTCAATTGCTATGGTGAATTTCTTTAGGTTCCGTAGGTTCAGCAGGTTCCCCGGTTCCGCGGTCTGCAATTCGACATATTAGTCTTACTCTTGAGTTTGCTGTCTAACTTGAAATGAATCCTAGAGATGGTCCAACAAGGTTTTTGGAGTTTGAGTTTTCGAGGAAGCGTGAGAAATCAGTTGTCAACTCGTGAGAGCATGAGATAAGAAGTTGAATCGATCGAGAGACTCACAACACATGACGACAAAGTCGTGAGACTTGGCAAGTCTGCTCAGGCAAAAATTATCCTGGCGTAAAATGTAAAACCATAATCGCAGCTGAATTAAAATATAAAGGTCTCAAACACACGGAACACCTTATATGAGACCATGCGAAGCACATTATTTAGGTGAGAAAAACCCAGAAATAAAGCTAACAGGGACTGAAGGGTTATTGTAAAAATTTACATATTCCCACATTGTTGTCAGTTTGCAGCAGTAGGTTTATGATTCTTTTATACATATTGACCTGACCCTATGTCATAAAGAGAGTTTCTATATTTTTATGACAAGGAGCGTTCTTATTTAAAGGTTATTGTGCGATATCTTCAAAGCCTACAAAGCAAATTGAACACGCGTGACGTAATTTACACTGAAATTTCACTGTGACAAGCACTCGTCAATATTGGAACATTTGAAGACGGCAGTGATTTAGCAGATCCTGTGGTCAGAATTCCAATGTAGCAGACAAGAAACAACATTACCTTCGATTTTTTATGCAAATTGTTATATTTTTTTTAATACTTAAACTCTTACCACAAACTAACATCCGTCCTATTAATTGTGATCTCGGATATTGTCGATCTGAGTCAAGTTTACAAAGCAGCTGCGTTTACACTTTTGTATGATACAACCAAATGGCGCCCAAGATTCCGAATGTTGAGACAGTTGCAATGTCATATAGTTAAGCATATTACTGATTTTAGAACAGGTAAAGAGGAAGATAACGGTGTAGCCGCTGAAATCGAAACTACATGGCTTTCCGCATGAATATATATTTCACTGTAATCATCATAAAAGGTAGATAAAATATTCTACTCACATTTCTTGCTCAAACGTCTTTCCTCCAAAACGAAACAGCCTAGAGAAAAAGTGGTTGATTAAGGGTGAGAAGGTTGAAACGAATTTCACAAAAAAAATTCATGAAATTACGGTAGATTTTTACCTCTGTGCACCAGGAAGCAGCGATAGTGCGCCACGTTCTCTCCAGGAAAGATATAGCGTGACGTTCTTTCGAGGTGAAAGAATTTATTTAATTTGTCACGTTCATGGATGTCTTACGTCACGAGATCACGCCATCCTTGTTTTGGGGTCGTCATGTGTAAGGGGACAAACGAGCTAGACTGCTCAAACGAACGCAAAGATATGGGGACGATAGAATATCACTGAGCCCGGGAAGTGTTATCTCAGGGGAACCCAACGAGAATATAGTTCAAAACCACTTAAACATAGCATTGTTGAACCTTGAACATTAAACATGGCATTGTTGAACATTGTTGAAAGATATAGGCATATTTTTATCCCCTAAAAACTTTTCGTCTGTTGGGATTTCCTAGCTAAAAGTCTAGTGATCCGAAAATTATAGGGATTCAAACTTACCTTTTCGAAAATTTCAGCCAGAAAAAAGGCTCCCGAAAATTCTAAGAGACCTTTTTAGGGTAAAATCCATTACGAATGGGCCATTATACCATTTTTTGATGTTCGAAAATCCTAGGACAGGCAGGCAAGCAAGAAATTTTACAACAAATGTTTCAAAAATTCTAGAACTCATATCGTCTTCCGAACAGATATTTTCCAAAAAATGACGGTTGGTTACTGCACCTTAGTTATAGTTCACATTTTCGAGACTTTTCAGCTTTTCAGCTATACTTTTAATAACATTATGTTTCTCCGTGTGGGAAGAGACACAACAGAGCACGTCGAGAAATGGCGTCCATCTGTTGGACGACCCAAACTCATTCAGACGAACTCAACTGAGTCAGACGTCGAACGTTTCATGAACACAACTCACTAAGTTTGGTTCGTCTCATCAGATTAACAGTTAGCTAAAGTTCGACGTTTGGCCTAGGCCTAAAACACCGACCACATGAATTTTGAAGTCTTTCTTCAGAACATAACGTAATGCCTTGTCCGATTTATTGCATTCAGTTCTAATAGTTACGTAAACTCTGTATGTCTCCAAAAAGGGTCCTAAATGTTGACTTGTCTTATTTGCTCAAGAGTGCAAAATTTTTTATAGGCTTGATTACCAGCCGCTGTTGAGACGGGGGAAATCGAGCCTAAATTTTTTATAGACTAATTTTAGACTAAACAGGCTCTTCTATAGAGGGGGCTTAACTCACAAATTTTAGCCCACAAGGTTCTTAAAAACCAGGTTCCTACACGCGGCTAGCCTGTCCGAGACTAAAGGACCTAACGGCGCGAAAGTGAAAAGCGTGCGAAAAAGGGAGGCGGGCCCCTTCTCTCCCCAGTTTTCTCCCTTTTGTTTTTTGTTTTTTTTTTTTTGCGTTCGTCCTTTCTCAATTTTGCGGACCCGACTATCTCGCAGCCTAGAACAGGTTAACATGCGGGTATTTACTGTATCTGTAGCACGAAAGAACCAACGACATGCACACAACAAAAGGCACTGCTCGGTGGGGTGGGTGGGGGTGGTCCTGATAATGGACTAAACGGAAAGGCTACGGTACCGTTTTCGGGCTTCAGGTGTAAGAAAGACAAGAAAGGGAAGGGATTTCATCAGTTGAAGTATATGAAAAGGTAGGGAAATCTGTCATTCAGTATATTTCGGTCTGTAAAAGGAGCACAAATGGCTAATAGACACATTTTATGGATTTGAAAGAGACAAGAAACCCTCCTGGTTTAATAATCTGTTCATATTAAATAGACGGTGCATTTACAGCAGTTAAAAGGGATGTAGTGTTTCTAAACTAGGTATGTGAAACCAGTAGAAGAGGTACCATTTGTCACTACAGCACTGGAAGAACGTAAATTCACTTTTTAAACGACGTTTTCGCCACAATCGCGTCGTCGGATCGTAAAAGTGATGTTACGTGAGACGATTCGTGACGACAATTTTTAGCGCAACATATCGTTGCAACATTGTCGCGACCGTGTTTGGAATGGTCACAATATTGTTCCAACATCGCAACCCTGTATTGCGTTAAAAATCGTCGTTGCGAATCGTTCCGTGCAACATGATCTTGAAGTACCTTTTAAACTGGAGAGCAAGGGACGCATTAGTCTCCTTCGCAGCCGTTATTAGGGTCGTCACTTGGTCACACGAGTGACGACCCTAATAACGGCTGCGAAGGAGACTAAGGACGCATCGGGAGATGACAAACAAAGGAGATTACCATTTTAAATGATATAATCTCTTTGTTTGTCTAGTTCCAGCGCGTCCCTTGCTCTCTAGCATGGCGGTTTTGTACCGCGTGACTGACTAGCTACAATTGGCCAAATAGTATTGCATTAGGAAAGACTGTTCTGTCTAAGTTGCGGGAAACGCAAGAATTTAGTAGTTTCATCAACTGAGTTGATGAAGAGAACCACAAAGATTTAACAGAGTTGACAGAGTCAATTTACCACAGCAGCAGGTGATCGTAGTTTTTCAATCGTTCTACGTTTGTATATCGAAAGGGTCACACAACTACTGTTTTCTATAAAATATCTGTCGGGGAAGCAAATATTGCCTAGAATTTAGAAGCTTATCTAATAAATTCCGTACTATTTTCTGAAGTTTAAGTTTTCAAATTTCACCCCCCAGGTTGAGCTCTTTTTTTTTTCGTAGAAAAAAGGCAACCTAAAATTTTCGGATTCAAAAATGTGATGGAGAAAGAAACAAAAAAATTCTCACTTTCATCTAAAATTTTTGGGAAAAATAATATTGAAGCCCTTGTAATTTCTAAAAGACTCAAGTTGCCCTAGGATGACCGAACAGATTCAAATTTTATAGCGCCGCTTAGAATACACTTCTGGAGATCTAAGAGTACCCTGGATAGCCCAAAAAGTGTTTTCAAAGTATTTTGGAGGAAACTGTCGTCGGGTTTGCTGTATTGAGTTTTATCAACAGGCCACCAACAAAACTTGAATCGAACCAAATCAACGGTCGTAAAACGATTCAGACACGATTGAAAAACTACGCCTGAATATAATTTCTCTGGTACCCAGAATTGGCCAATGATGATCCGTTGTTTGCGTCTGCCTCCTGCAACGTTAAAACAATCCTTCAGACATGGCACCTGCGAATACAACCGCCTTTTTTCGCTCCTTAGACTGCAACACAGTCAGTTTTTTCTCGATATACTTCACGCAAAAATACGGACTATCTTGCAGTCTATTCGCTCCTCGCCATTGGGGATGCGACAGAAATTCCATACTGATGACGTAAAATCTGTCCGGAATCTTTCTGCGAAACGTCTCTAGCGGCAAGGAGAGAGAAGAAAGATGTCTTTATTCACAGGCTGAGCGATCGCTTATGTCTTGCTAGCATTGCTGACACCTGGCACCTGACACCTACAACACCAATAGAAATACGACACCTACGACTCAAAATAACCATTAAAACCGTGGTGTCAATGTTGTCAATGTCGAGTGCTGTATACCTGCCACTTGTGTCACACGCCTGCAGCTTCGAAAACGTACAGGGCAACTCCCAATTCCGCTCTGCTTGTCTAGTAACAAGTAGTAAATGGCTTGATCTCGGCAAGATCTCTCAATTCCTCGCAACCTTTAAGAAACCTTAGGAAATAATCGCAACATTTCGGAAATCTTCGGTAGTCTTCGAAGTTAGTTGTAATTCTTTTCTACTGGTCAGAAGTATTCGGATTTTTTAAGAAGTTGGGGTAATATTGATACGAAAATCACACGCATTAATTGAAAAAGAAAAGAAGAGAAGGAAATTAAGTAGGTATACTGTTGCCGATTTGGGGAAAACATCATCGAACCAATTTACACAAACAATGTTCTGAATGAACGTATGAAAATTAACTCAAATGGCTACCGCCCACCCGCAACAATTTAAGGGTACCTGATGAGCCCATGGGCCACTTTATCCCGCGAATTTTATCACTTTGAGGAAAGAATTCATGCGAAGTGCGACTTGAGGCCAAACCTACACACGATGTCTGCTATCATAAGAGAGAAAATAAGCTTATTTGCTATTTGCTGTGTTTGGGGGACACTATTCGGTCTCAAAACGGTATTAACCAAAGAAGGTAAGAAAATCTTTTATCATATCATTGTTTTCCTTAATCGTTAATCAACATCAGGTTCACAAAGGTAAGCCTTCCTTCGATACGCATACGCTGTACGGAGCCTGGTGAAACATTTTTTTTCTTGTATGTCTACTTCCAAATAATTTTAACAGAGGAAATGGTGCTTTGTTTATTGATTGGTCCTTAAATAAAACGAAGATGAGACAAATTTGTTTTGAATCAAAGATTCAGGTACGAAACCTGCACGATCCGTTATCGGAAAAAGAGCTTTCCGAGTGTAATCTTTGCAGAGTTTGTTCCTCCTTCTGATGATCACGAATTTTTGTTGTTGACAGTCATCTTCAGGGTCAAAGTGAGTTGTATTACATCAGTTGATGGCATTAAACTCATTTTATTGACCTGATTGAGCGGTTCTTGTTATTGTTGGTCATCTATTGACGGACTCAATTAAAACTAACTACGAGAGAATGACTGGACAACTGACAATTTGACTAACAATACACGACTGTTAAACTGTAACAATAGACGGATCGAAACCCAAACATCTTCCAAATTTTGGTCAGCGCTACCTGGTTGTTTAACAATTATTCCACGAGTGCGCGTTGGACATCAGCTGAATAGATAGCCAACGAGGCGATCGTAGCGCCTCGTTGGCTATAATCATCTTATATCCAATAAGCGGAAGTGGAATAACTGTTTTATTAAAAACGCCCACAAAATATCAAGAATTCTTCCCGACTTTAGTTGTAAAGTTAACCGATTTTCAGCTTGTTTTTAATTTTGAGCAGACGCGAAAAGTTACCATATTTGGAGAGAATGGTATAATGGCTCATATACCATGATGGCTAAGCCAGAGCTCCTATAGAATTGCATTATCCAATGACGGTTCAGTTTAATAAAAAAAATTAGCCAGGATATTAAAACTTATCATAAACAGAGATATTTGAAGAAATAATGAACTGATTTATTTATCTGATTGTAGAAACAGTAAGCCTCGTTTTCGCGGGAGATATCAGTTTCTCGGATCCAGTACGCGCTGATGTCCATCGCAACTTTTACTCCTACAAAGACACTTTGAGTCATGTGGCCCATTACGTCAGAGATGCTGACATTTCCTTTGCAAACCTGGAGTCTCCCATTGTTCCTAAGGAATCGCTGGAAAATAAAAATGTGGGACCAAAAGTAATTTTTCTCTACGCTGAAAAACAAAGTGTTTCAGCTTTAAGGTAGGTTAGAAGAGACAGTGGACATTGTTTATTTTCATTTTTGTCCTTTTACTGGCATCGGGGGGGATCAGCAACATTCCAGCCTTAGAGAAAAAGACTTATCTACCTTACCTGATAATATAATAGAGCGATTTTACTTGACCCGTGAAACAGATAATAGACCTTGTCACGGTTTTCGACGCCATCTTGACGAGTAGGCAAACGTGTGAAAAATTACAGTGTTTGTATGAGAATCTAATGTTGAATAATTTGAATGTAAACTAAAATTTACTAAAAAATTTGTTCTGTGCTTAAATTTCTCGGGAGGCTTGCTTTAGATTTTCCATCTATTTGTCTGTAATTTTTCCTGGGACTTTCTTAACTTTTTAAAATTTTCCATACATTGGTCTGTGTTCTAGGTCTTCTAGCGCATATAACGCCCACAATTTTTTTCAGTAGAATCCTTAGGAGCGAAGCTTTAGTTTAAAATTGATATTTTTTTTTCAAAACAATCGTTTTACGGGAATTATTCTACATTAGATTCTCATACAGATACTAGAATTTGTCACGCGTTTGCCTACTCGTCAAGATGGCGTCGAAAACCGTGACAAGTTCTATAACAACTACTGCAAAATAGCTTCAAATAAACAAAAAAAGACAATAGAACTAGTACATAATAGTGCGTAGTATTCTACTACCTATTTCACGGGTAAAGTAAAATCACTCTAAGTCAGTGCACCAGTAGCAGTTTAGCATTCGCGAATAAACGAGTAATTTCATTTCAACGTTTTTTTAACTAGTATTTTGCAATCTTTTTGTTTTCCTTGTGTTTTAAGGTTTACTATATGACCCTTTCAAAAAATAATCGGATAGAAAATAAATCGGTTCAGATTCTCAAATGTTTGGTAGCTCGCATCGTAAATGCATTCAAGTCAGTTGTAACCTGCCTGGAAGCTCCCCATTGGAGTACTTGAATCGAGAGCTTCCACTAACGTCGGCTAAGCGAGGGAAAGGCTAGCCTGCGTAGCAAGCGTTTCCAATCACTCTCGTCCCGACGTTCTCGACGAACTCGCGCGGAAACGCTTGCTACGCAGGCTAGGGAAAGGCGAGACCCGAGGGAATTTCCCCGCGCAGAGGATACTCTTTACCAAACGCTTGCCCCCGCGTGAGATCGCTCTCCTTTCATGCCGGATATTACAATCAGAGAGCTGGCTTGAAGAGTACACAAAATCTCACTCGTCTTTCGCAGGCTTGCGGGATTTGACGTCATGACGATAGCAAATAATCACCTTAATGACTTTGGCGAGTTTCCCGTGAATTATACAGTAAACACTTTGAGAAATGCTGGAATAAAAGCTATTGGTGCAACTTACGGACCATTCAACTCTCATCAGGTAATTAATAACTATTGTAGCATGGTGTAAAGTGAGCCTTTAATATTCAAACCTTCACTAATTGTAATATTCGAGCATAATCATTTCCAACGTAGATGTTTAGACACTGTTTAGATATAAGAAATTTGGATTTTGAATTACACACTGTGATTTGGAACTCGAGGAAAATTGTACGTTAATTGACACAAGAATGTACTTATTCAGGGAAAATTTCATCCCGTTCTAAGATATTTTCGATTTGTTGATTTAACCAGATTTGAAGGAACGAATTTGAAAATGAGAGGGCAGCAAGGTAAGTAGTGCTGGTGGCACACTTAAATTTAATGGATTAGAGGCCCACTCCTGAAGGGGGCACTGCTGCCCGTCCCCTTCCCCACACCTCCCCCTAGCTATTTCTACGGCCATGTGAACATCCACCGTAATAGGAGAACCAGGGAAGGTTAGCAAACCAGTTTGCGCGTGTTTTTTTCTTTTGAGTTTTGTAGGTTCCTGTCATCCTAGAGAGAAAATCGTTAAAGATCGGGGTCTTAGCATACTGTTTGACGCATGGAGGAAAAACTGATAAAGTTCAAAACTGCACTGAACTTAGGAGTCTTTTCAAGGGAGGACCAGCTATTTATCGTAGAGATGTTGCAAGAGTTGATGTTGAAAGATTAAAGGTAGGTCAGGATTCCAGTTTTTGACTCAGTAAGAACACAATTTATGTATGTCGGCGTATAACGCAGTTTTTAGACAAGGGCCTAATTTGTTCAAGGAATGGCTAGATTGCTCTTTGGATGTGGTAATGTTGTAAATGAAAACCACTATTACCGATATATAGGGAGTCAAGGCATCAAAAACTAGGAAAACATTATCAATTGACGTTGGGTGTCTGCCTCATAACATTTTGAAGAAAGAGCATAATTTTTTCCTTTAAAAGTCACGAAATAAATGACTTCCTTGACCACGACACACTTCGGCCTAAACACTTCATTTTCACACTAGTACTCTGTCATTTTTCCACTCCTCTATGATTAAAATCGTCTATTTTAATATAAATCTCTTTGAATAAAACGAACCTAGAACATATAAAAATAGGGTGAAAAAGGAAGACGCGTGCTCTGTATTTCCTCCAAGAGGTATCTATATGCCCTTAAATATCTCTCCGTTGACTGGTCTGATTTAGGCAAGAAAAGTTGACGTAATTGTTATTTTGATGCACTGGGGCCGAGAATACCGTCCTCGAATGAATGGCTTACAAAGGCGAATAGCTACGTATCTGACGTCACTCGGCGTGCATGTCATCATTGGCTCTCATCCGCACGTGATGCAGCCGTACAGCTACCGCGACAAACGATTTGTTGCTTACAGCTTAGGAAATTTACTCTTCTCCCATGAATGGACTCCAGAAAAATTTAGGGTAGGTTATTGTCTCTTTCTCTTTTTCCTTTTCTTTCTGCACTGTGATATTCGCTTGAACTTACAACGTACAACAATAGCCGAGGACAGCGGAGGAAGATCAAGAGTAGGTCATTACCGAGTTCCAAAAACACTCACTTTCAAAACGGCTAAGTCACAGAAGTGGAAAACCGTTCTTATGATAAGTAGTTTTATCTGCATGAGAACGAAAAATCATTGGCTTTACACTTAGCCTCGATTAAAAACAGAGGCTTCGGGCTACAAGGAAGGGGCCTTTTTTGGGGGGGGGGAGGGGAGAGTGCTCCAAATGCGTGGTTCTGACGAGAAAAGGTGGTCGAAAACCATGAATTCTCGATAGAAACAGGGGATTGAAGGGAATGATGTTACAGTTGAAAACCTCACAGTCCTTTCAGCAACAAACCTTGAAACAAACTGACTCAACTTGAAGATTTTGCCTTCGAGAAAATCCTCAAAAGTATCGTTTAAAAGAGATAAAAATAACCGTGAAGTATCAAGCTTTGCGGAGTTAATGAGCAGGACAGCATGCACTTTAAAGATATGAAATTCGACGTTAATTTTGTAAGTACTGAGAATAGTGGTGAACTAAAATGAACAAGGAAAATTTATTTTCCCGATCGTCTCAAAGAAGGAAGGGGTGTCTTGAACCACCCCAAGCCCCCCGCCCCCCACACACACCCCGAAGTCTTATCCTCTCTGCAATCCCTGGTAGCAGTGTAGTTACAAAACATTTGAAGTTAAGAGGTACGACTTAATGCCTTACAAGTTACGTGGGATTGTTTCCACGGCTGCATTATCCTTCACGTAGGTTATGTTTCTACTTCTCATTAAATGCCTGAAATTTAAGCCGTTATTGGTGAATCGTACGTTTAATTCGAGCAGCTGCCGTTCTTTTCGATGAAAGCCACAAGAAACGGACGTCTTATCCGTACTGAGGTTTCAAGGTTAGTGTAATTAGGATACACTGATTTAGCCGGCGTCACATCACACATGCGCAATGTATATGTAAGGTACAAGCTCCATGCGTAAGCGTAGTGTTATTTACGGTGGATCAAAAGCCATAATGCTCTTCAGTGGATTCATTTGCAACATATATGTGTAGCCTTCAGAGTCCTTTATTTGTATTTATTTTTTTATTTTTCATTGCTTTTAACCCTAAAAACAACAACAAAAACAAACACCGGGCAAATGCGACGGCTATACGAATATGCTGCAAATGGAACACACAATTCACCACAAGTAAGTCTTTGCGTACACTATACCGGTCAAGTATGGAAATCTATTCACACGGCGCCAAAGAGAAACAGAAACCTATCCGATATATGACGATCCACTTTCAAAGTCTAGCGCGACGCACAGGCGTTACGGAAACCCCTCGTTGAAATCATCGCGCTTATGTGTGACCAGAAGCACTATGCAGTTACGGTTTTCGTACCGGGGAAAGAGCTATCCGGCATAGTTCTTCACAATAACTACGATAAGGCAAATTAAAACTAGCCTACAACATAGGCGTTATTTTGGGGTGTCTTCTAGGTGAGCAAAAGCAAGCCCGAAGTGAGCGGGAAGCGCTAGACACCCGCCACGGGGGAAGGCGCAAAAAAAAAAGCTAAATTTTTCTTTTTCTCCGCAGAGGCTTCCCCCGAGCGGAGGACGATGGGAAGAGGGAAAAGGCGGGAACCTCTCTCCTTCGTTCGGCATTCGATTCTATCGTCCTGGCCCCGGTTATTCAAAAGATGAATAACGCTACCCACTAGATAAGTCTCTATCCAGGGGATAGCGCAATCGTTTTTCCTAATACTTATCCAACCTCGTTCCCAGGGTTCTCTCGGTAGGAGAGAACCCTGGGAACGAGGTTGATACTTCTCCACTCGATAGTGATTTATTCACTGGATAGCGCTATCCACGTTTCAACAACTGGAGCCAGAACCATTTCCCTTCTTACTTACACGTACATAAAATTCCGTAGTCTCTATTCAAATTTCTGCTTTGCGAATCTCTTTGTTTGTAAGTCGAAGTCTCTTCAAGTTAGGGGAAAAAAGGAAACTGAGAGTGGCATAAGCGAGAATCAAATTCGGGGTGCTAGATCCGAAACCCATCGCCTATACCACCTCACCATGGAATATTCAACTGCCAATAACCCTTTTGATTAACATATACATATAGTGACAAAACTAAAACGAAATTGAACATTAACCATTTCGAGTCAGTGCATATGCTAATCACTGTAGTCAGTGCGCTTACTCCTGTACAGGGAATTATTTTGCGCAAACATCACAAGGTGTCCAATGTGGTTCTGGGCGATGGAATCCAATCTCTAACCTCATTTTTTTTCCTTCCCCTCCTTCCTCGCGCGATTTCCTTCTCCCTTCTTCCCAGCCTTACCATGATACAAGAGAGAGAGCGCGCTTACATAGTGATTTTAAGACGCCTATAATGAAGCTAACCCCTTCGTTTATTTTCCTCGGTCTTTGAGGAAGTACTGTAGGCCGGCTTATGCACCTGGGACCAGTGCTATCTTCTCACTAAACTATTCTAACATTTTTTCCCTATCCAGAAAAGGAGTCGTCCGAGTTCAGTATCTTCCTTATGAAATAAGAAAAAACCCAACCAATCATTGTCTTCAACCGATACCATTGAATCAGGACGGATGGATTGACGTATGCGGGCAGACAGACACCATGTGCTTGAAACATTGACCACAACATTAGGGAGCTTTAGCAACGATGACGACGACGGCAACGCCAACGGCAAAAAAACTGCAATAAGTTTAGATTGGGAAAACAACAACTTTGCGCGTGCATCACCCTTTTTTGCACATTTCTTTGCCGTCGTTGCACGACCACGACGTGTAAAGGTGATGTTACGCAAGACGATTCGTAACGACGACTTTTAGCGCAACACAGCGTTACAACATTGTTTCGAATGGCTACAACATTGTTCCAGCATTGCAACGCTGTGTTGCGCTAAAAATCGTCGTTGCGAATCGTCCCGTGTGACATCACCTTAACTGCCTGAACACAACGAATTTTTAATTATTTTTATTGTTATTATCAATTATTCAGTTTTTTAGAATTCAACTATAGAAAAATTGACCAACATTTGACTAATTGAACGACATGGAATAAGAGTAATGAATTTTGAAACAGCGTGAATTCACTTTTTAAGATACGTTTTCGACACCGTCGTCCTTGTCGTCGCTTTTTCACGTGCGTTTTATCTTTTTCTACATTTCACTGCTGCACTCCCTAAAACAACAATTTGAAATAATTTAAAAATTCAAGAATTTTATTGCGAACGAGAAGACACTAGAATTAAAAATTTCCTATGAATTCAATGGACATTTCAGAAACATAAATGAAACAATTTGAATGAAGAGCGCGAGTTGTTTTTGGCTTCGGCGAAGTATTTATTTTAAAAAAAGTCCCTAGTAAGACAGAGAATTTCGGTTTAATATCATTCCAGTAGGAACAAGAAAACTGGAATACAGTGTAAACCCGAATATACGAACTTACTGATTATAGAACGTACAAGCTAAAATTTGGCATTTAGATACCCAAAAATATATGAACCTGTTCAGCCTGGCAAAGAAAAATAGGTTCTTACACAAAACATCAATTCAATTTTAATGGTCAAAATTCTGGATTTTAATTGTGTGAGAAACTTCTCACAGAAAGTTATTGTGTATATGTTTTCTTTGATTTACATTTGTTTGTATTTTCACTGGAAATATGTTTTCCATAAAGCTTTATGTATTAGTAGTACAATATTTCTGCCAATGAGTGAACTACGACAACCTCTGAAAAATAAGAACCTATTATGAAATGTGAAAAACTAACCTAAAATACAAGGACCTTTTCATCCTGACCTCGACTGTTTCTTATATGCGGATTTTTACTGTAATTCTCAACATATTTCTTTCTTTTTTAAAACAATGTCTGTTAGAAACGACTGTCCACTTGAACTCCTGCCGAAACGGCCGTTTGTTTTCATACACATATTAAGCGCTCGACGCTTTTCGTGGAAAGTCCACGGGAATGCAGCGATGCACTGTATTTCCATTTTTCTTATTTTCACTTATTTTCTTATTTTTCCTGTTTGATAACTTCGCTGAGATCTTCTGATATTCCAACTTCCTCGTTCTTGTCAGCCTCTCCTCCCTTGGTGACTAGTTTTGTATCACTACTCCCTATTGGAGAGCAGGATTTGTCGGCAGGGTCTGCTGTAGTGTTTGCGTCCGTTTTTGTATTTAGTTTACTGCTGTTGTCGTCAGGTTTAGATTGAATTTCTTCCATTCTCTCGTCGGTGTAAGAATGATCCGGTAGTGTCCTCAGCCATTTCAACACTCTTAACTAAGTTAAGGCCAAATGTGACGTACAATAGGGAGCTTCAGCAACGACTATGGTGAAGTCAACCTATGTCACCAAGGTATTGCTGTTCGGGTCAATTCTGTGCTGAAGCATCATTAGAGAGTTTTAGATTTGAGGACGAGAACGAGTACGAGTACGAGATTTAACTTAAAGGTTTTGCGCGTGTTAAAAAAAGACACCCCGGAAAAGCTTCATTTTACTTTATTTCTCCAAAACAGTTAGTACGGTTATTTATACTGAAGGAGCTTAAGCCCTCTCCCGATAGCAAAATGATAAAACTTCTCACATTTGATAACTTGTTCCCGCCACAACGACATGCTCGCTAAAACTGGTAGTAGATTGAAGACGGCTACCACAGATTCCCGCCAAAATAACGCTGCAGTCGTCCTCGTCTCAGAATCTAAAGCTCTCTATTACTTAGTACCATAACACCCATAAGAAAAATGCTCTTGTAGAGTTATGAAGACATAAGAGAGGATTATTAATAATAACTTTTCGGTGTTTTTTGCGGGCATAGCATTTAAACTTGAAAAAGTTGGCCCATTGTTTTCAAGTTTCAATCCTTTTCCATCCTTGCCATCATTTGCAACAGACGACAGGAAACACATTGAATGCCCAAATACAGTCTTAAGTAACAAGAAACATTTTAAAAAAGGTAACAAATAGCGTGACATGGCTCCTTTTAACGCCTTTTATCTATTAAACGCCTCCTTTTGGACCCTCAAAATTAAATAAACGCTTCGGAGGTCTGTTAGAAGATCCTTTACGGTAGTCGCTTAAACGAAAGGACTAGTTATTCGAAAAATGCAAACCACAACAACATACAGAACTGTAACAGCTTAGTTTGGGGCAAGTTATTAAGGATACACAGCCTGTCGCATCTCAGTATCAATTATGTGCTTGTAGATAAAGTCGTCTTTAAACTTCTGTACTTTCTCCTGAAAACAAATTGCAAATATGCAGTTGTTTATAGACTGTACGACTTTTAATGCCATTTTCGACATGACTTAGGGTGAAATGTTTACAATCTTAAATTGCTGCAGAATGTTAGTTACATTTGGAAAAGTGTCATAACTGATTCAAACTAATGCTTTTATTTTGTAAGCTTCCTGCGACCGACAGGATTATTTTGTAGAACGCCAAATGACTTTGAACTTTAGTGATTGGGGTTAGGGAAACCGAGTGCATCAGGTTCCATCTAGAGTCAAAATACTGGGCAAACTGACCTGAAACTTGATTCACTCAGTTTGCTAACCCCAGTCACTAAACTCCAGAGTCATTCGTTGTTCAGCAACCATTTGGCGTTCTTGAAAATACTCCTGCCGTCCAGCGAGTTGTATGATGGCTCATCCTCGGAGATCCAGGGGCAGTCAGACAGGTCGAGAGAAAAGGCGCGACGAACGTTTTCAAGCATCCACTTGAAAGCTTTCGTCGCACCTTTTCTCCCAACCCGACTGACTGCCCCTGGGTCTCCGAGGCCGGTGTTGATGGCTGTATTCTAGACCAATTTTGCTAAATTTCTTTTATTGTCCTGTTAGAATTTCTCACATGTATAGGCAGTACAGTGATCAAAATTCTAACGTACATTAGAAGCAAGCTTGATCTTAAAATGGGCCGACACAAAATCACAAAAAATTTGACGTGGCGACAGCTACCTCGTTCTCATCCCACTCTAAGCTCTCATGTATCCCATCATCCCCATAGCGCCGATTGTAGGCGTCAAAGTGAACCTGGGAAAAATATTAACAAAACACAAAACATGCAAGTGAACAGGATCTTCGCAGTAGAATGAACAACCTAAGCGGTTGAAAAGAACCTGAAAAAAATTGAAGCGTGAACGGGAATCGAACCCTGACCTTAATTGCAATGTCGTTGTAATTTCTTATTCTGTGAAGAAATACTATGCTAAGAGTGAGGTACTGGCCAGGCCGAGGGGTGGGTTGGTGCATGTGGGCTCCTTGCCTTAAGTTTGTCTTATTGAATTTACTGGCACACAGATCAGGGTAACTCCTGATCCGCCTTCCCCGCGCAAGCCGTGGGAGAACTGCCGTGCGGTTCCCAGCCAATAGCTCCAACATGTGTTGTGTGGAGCTATCGCTTAAAGGAGTGCTTGCACTTGCTCCGGCAATAAAGGGTCTGATACACGGGGATTTTCCCCGATCATTGACGCGATGGCTACACCATGATGATGAGTCTCAGTAAGAGCGAAACAGCTGTCCATGGCTGCCACTGCCCAGGTGATATGGCTGTGCACATGCGCGAGGTACTAGCCAGGCCGTGAGCTGGTGTATGTGTGCCCCTTGCTTTACGTTTGCCTTATGCTACGATTGCCATACACTATTTTCCGCAGTTCTTATATACCGTAGAGTGGATCCGTCTTCAGGTTTAAAAAAGGTAAAACCCGTTCCAAGTGTTAAAGAGGAGGCAACGGCAAGAAATGAAAAGCAGAGCGAAACAGAAAAGGAGAAGAGGGGGGGGGGGGGCGTTGGGGTGTTCCACCTGTTATCGTCACTTCTTCGTGCCGTCCAAAATATCTGATCGCCTCAAACAAGCTAGAATACTACTCAGCCTATGTACAGCCGCCCCTTCTCCTTAGAAAAAGCTCGGGAAAGGGGTCTTTTCTGGCTGGCTCTACACAGGCTACTAGAATACGAAACACTGAGGAGTGAAAGTCTTCTTACTGCAAAGTCGTTTTGTGCTAACGATCGCCACTAAAGCTGTGATCATCAATCGTTGGGCTGTAACGTTAACGTTGTTTATCAAGTCGTTCGTGGGAACAGTAAATTGAGCTGGGATTATCACACAGATGAATTTAAAAATGTGCACTGTGTATTGAACTAAAGCAGAGAAACCAAGCAGAACTTCGCTTTGGTGCTGTTTTTTTTATGTTGTACAAAGTGAGTCTTGGTTTCAGGTATGACCATTCAAACAAACGCACTTCAAAATTACTTCCCTATACCTTATCAAGAACGAGGCCAACTGCTGGGGCTTTCGGGATATCCACCTACGAGAAAACAGAAAAACTTGGCTCAGCAGATGCAAAAAAATACATGTTTCTGGAAGCACTGAAAACAATTAACAAGACTAGGAGTATGGCACAGTGGTTTCAGAATAAAGCACTTTAAAACTTCAAACTCCAAAACAAGGGCTTTATTGCATTGCTTCAAACGTACGAGAAATGCTTTCAAACAAGAGTCTTTGGGTTTTGGGCAACTCGTTTAAGATCCTGAGTAAAACGACATGAAATTTGTATAACCGTGAAGAGTCAACAAAGCGTTAAACATACTTTCTTCTCTTTCCTAGCCAGCTCTATTGTACTCAGAGGCGCAACTCCACGGACAATTGCTAATGCAAGACCTAGAGAAAGTAAGAAAAGCAACAGTAATATCAACAAAGTGATATCTGAGTTGTATAACAGTGTTGATAAATGAAGCGGTTACCCGGTATAAACTCTGTAGAAATTAATCCATTCCTTCGCGTCTTATTTTAATTTTCAAGACGAACGATTCATTTCTAAATTTGCCCATACTCTTGTATTCCCGTTTTTACCCACATATCACTACCATGTGATGACTTTTAAACAAATTCCTCCGCTTTTTCAAGAAGTGTTCTTAACATTAAAGTTATGACCTGTATCCTCCTTTACCCACCATTTGCCACACGAGAAGAACGCATGGGCGCGGGTTATGAATTCTACTAGACCAGTGCCTCATAACAGTTCCTACCTATCATTTTTCTGATCTGGTGAAGCATAAAACTCTGGCCTTTAACTGATAAGGTAATGTACTCTCTGCCATCTTTCTCAAATGGCTTTCCACACTATAGAAAAAAAGAGTTCTGATTAATATTGGAAACATGGGCCCAAAAAAACAACAACAATCTGACGACAAATGTAACAATCATCGCATGCATCTTTTGATTGCATTAACAATATATATGTTGTGGTTCAATTTTATCCTTGGTTCAAATTTTATTTTCCTTTGTTTTTGGGTATGGTAATGTATGATAATGAGTTTAAAAAAAAGGAAAATGAATTTGAACAAAGGAAAAAATTGAACCACAATGTACATACTGCACCTACCAAAGGACAAATAACTAAGTTTTCACTTTGTAAATGCCTTAATTAACATGGAAAAAGGCAAGGCTAAAATTTTCTATCAATAGTACACGCAATGTCTACGAGGAGATAACAAAAAAAAAATAGAAATTAAAAAAATGGGAAATTTCAGACCGGAAAAAATGGAGTAAAACTGTGGTTACCCACTCAGCAGCCAGAAGATGATGATGATGATGATAACGATGATGATAACAACAACAGATAAAAAAATATGCAAGGATTTCTCTGGTACCTTGAACTTCATAATATATCGTTTTGCACTGGCATCATCAAACCGCCTGAGAAAAAAGTAAAAAAATCAAAAGAGAAGAAAAGCAGATTCTATTTAAGTGCCACTAGGTAGCTACCATTGCAGAGAATGTAAGATTGCATTCTATAAGGCTCTTTCACTGCACATCTGGTCCATGATTTAATCTCTTCTTCACCACACAGACCAGTTAGCTAGTAAAAGTTGATGCTATTCTAAATGAAAACCCTTGATGTCTAAACCATGCGCTGGACATAAATTTGGAACTTGGCTACTCTTAACAGCAGAAATAACTATTGTAGCTCAGGGAGTAGAGTACAGAGAGTAGTGTTAATTCCTGGCCTGCCAGGAATTTGCGTTGGAGTTTTGCACTAATTTCCTCTATGGCTGCCACACTGGCTCATCTCTCCTGTGGCTTTGCTGCTCATGCTTATGTCTCATGGCTAGGCTGTTCATTCACTACATGTGAGCCTGCTCACAGATTAACACCCCGTGGCCAAAAAGGACAGTAAGGCTCTCAATGTCACAAACAGAATCCATTTCCCTCCTTGGTTATGGGGTCAATTATACAGTATGAATAAATTATAGTAACCAGTACATTTTAAAAACGTAATTCACTCACTTGCCTGACGTAAAGTTATGATAATTGTGTGTTCCAAGGAATTTTGAAAGGACTTGATTGACTTCCTCAATCTTGTCTTCTAAAAATTGATGGCAAAGAAATAACATTTATATACAAGTCACAAGGAACTAGATAATTAAACATATGAAATTGATTACACACTTGTAGAAGCCAGAATTCAGCAGAAAATGGTTAAGTGAAATCTCATTCTTACCTGAAACTCTGTAGTTTGAGGTTGTTTGCTGCCGAGAACAGAAAATAAAAAGCAGTGGAATAAGTTAATCTAGCCACACCAGAGAAAAGACAAGCACACTTAAAATTATTACAGTGTAGCAACAACATACAGTGCAACCCGGTAAATACGGGCACCCAGGGGACATGTGTGCCACAGTGTCTGTCTTCCTGGCAATGTAGATTGCACATAGGTTTTCATCCTTCTCATAATGTAAAATCATGTCTCTGACGGAGTGGGAGTGGACACTGACATGAAGAGGAGAAAAATGAGCATAGTGGCAACTTTCTCAGTTGCAATGATTGTCTTCAACTGTTTCACTCAGTGTATCTTCCAAGTTGTCAAAGAAGAAAGTAAGGCAGCCATTTCAGTTTAAATTGATTGTTAGGAAAGTTAGTGAAGAAAAGAACCATTTAGATGGATTGGTTTTTTTCGAAGTTGTGTTTTAACCTTGATCAATTCAGAATTAACATAGTTAACCAGGGCATGAAAATATAACTTTTTTATGTAAAATATGTGATATTCAGTTATTTTTTTATCTTAACTTGCTAGTAAAAAGTAGAACTTTGAGGATGACTTACATAGTCTTTAGCAAAGGCATAAGTTGGAGTAAGATATTCATATGTCCTGGCTGAACAGTTTCCTTTGGCATCAAAACCTCTAGTTGTCCTTTTCATAGCTGAAAAAAAAATAGGTAGAGATGTTCTGCAAATTCAATGAAAGAAGTGCTCTCATAATTATTAGGCAACCATGTAAGCAATTGAAAAAATCGGGTTCACACTGTAGTCACTGAGGAGTACATCTGTAAAAAACTGTTTATAAGATAAAAGCACATCCTTCTGAAGGATTTCATTTGAAGCGTCACAATAAACAATTTTGTCCTCCAAAATGAAGCCTACTAAATGCCCAGAGAAAGAAGAGAGGAGGAGGAAACAAAAAGGAAAAGTCAAGACTGCTGTGCCACTTTTAAACCCAAAAACTACCTTGAAATTTTGTTTTCTGCACATCTGTGAACTTCGCAAGCTATTATTTTGCATGTGGATCAGAAGGTTGCAAAGTACACAACTTGTAAAGGGCTTTGTGGTAAGCTTTAGCATTTTTCTGCAAAATTCTCGGGAGCAAATGGGTTAATAAATAGCACCGTGTGACAGTACAATGTGCTGCTGAAGAGGTTTAATTTAAATTGTCATACAATGTACTACAGTAATGTTAGAAATTTAACTTCATGTTAAACTCACCAATAACTCTTATCTCAGGAGGAAGATGTTCATTTATCTTTGTTACAATGCTTTGTTCTGGCACCATTTATGAAAAGAGAAGGATATAAACAAAAAATATGTCATTATCTATCACATTTATTATATTACGTACACTGTGCAAGTTTTTTTAAGACTTGCTTGCAAGTTACAGTGTACACATTACTCTTGGTTTCTGATACAAATATATGAATATATTATCAATTACTTACCACATTGGGACAATAAGAAAAAGTAAAATCATTTTGCAAAGACTGACTTTCCAAGTACCTGTTCAATTCTTCTCAGGTAGCAAGAAATAGTTAAATCCATACTGCCTTGAGCATGAGAAAATTCAACTAACAAATCATGGCAATACTTATCTTCAATGAAACAACTTGTCTTGCAGCAGACACTCCTTTGTCTGTTCTAGCACATCGCTGAAATGACATCTAAGGGGTGAAGCAGAGAAAGACAGTAAAATAATCATCCCAGTTAACCCTTTAAGCCCAAATAGTGACCAAGATCAATTTCCTCCTAACAATATCCATACACTGTCAACAGATAAGTTATGACAATTATTAAAATGATCACCCAAGTAAAAATGCCTTGATCTTTTATCAAATTCTCTCAATTCATTCTTAAAGGAAATGTATGGAGATCAGTTTGGAGAATTTGTATGTGGATACTGGGGCTTAACGGGTTAACGAACATATTCAGGGTTGTAACTAAGATTTCAAGTTGCCAGGTATATGTAATTAGTTGGTGGGAAAATGAACAACTAGGAAATTATTTTGGTTCTGTTTTCCTTTTGTTTCCTATGAAAGTAGGCGGCAGTCGCAGTGTACAAAGAAAGTAGTGTCCAATAGCCCGGGGCTAGTGGATTTTACTATTGGGCCAGTGAATTCTGTTTTTAACTGCCCCCAACCGGCAAGTGATGTTTTTTTGAGGAATTCAAATAATTCTACTAGTCAAAAAGCTTTTGGGGCTAGCTGAAATGACGTCTGGGCTAGTAAATGCTAGCTTCAGCTTGCTGAATGGCAAGCTGTAAAAATGATTTTCTTTGCACCCTGCAGTCATATTTGTAGTAGCCAAAGGAAATCTGTGGCCCCTGTCCCTAAGTGACGGCCCTGAAAATTATCACTTCTACAGGTACATGTGATTACCAGCGGTAGTTCATTACAAAAATAGTACAATAAATTTATAACAAATAGTATCAAAAAGCACTTGTCAAAGGTCCTTTTTGTTGTCCACAGTACTTGTTACAAGTGCTTTAATTACAGAATTAAAACTGAGTTATTTAACAAACAGACATCCTTTCTCTATTGATTTCTGGCATATAGTCATGTAATTTCATGTCACAATGTTCAAATTAAGCCCTGTGTACAATGGCTCTTGATGTAATGCCAAATTCTCTCTTTGCTTTACAAGTAAATACAAGGTAATATCTTGGGAGAATTTAGTAGTAAACCATAAGTCATGTCAGGCATTTTTCAGGCACCACTTTAATAAGGAAACATGGTGAAACAAAAATTAAGAATAAAACACTGACTTTGCCTAAACAGGCCTTGCCATCTTCAGTTATTGCCTCTGCTTTGTACAATGCATTCACCAGTTCCTCTTCAATAGTCTTGACTCCTGGATTACTAGTTGTAAAAACATTTAAAAGGAACAGTCATTATAAAATTATGTTTAAAGTAACAGTTATTTTCTCAAATTTAAGAAGGCTGTCAAAGAACACACCATCAGCTAAGGATTGTTGCCTGTCTTGTCACCAGACAGCTACTGAGTAAACCACTACCTGGCAAAGATTAGGGCTGAATTTTCTATTGTCCATGATAATAAACAAACACAGCTACAAACAAGGCTGGGCCATACAACTATAATGGACATTTTAGACTCTTGAAGTGAACAACAACAGTGTTCAATGTCAACATCCACCCAGCTAAGTTTTCACCAAAGAGTAACTACATGATTACATAATTGATAGCCCAAAGACAGTAGACTGGAGCTACTGGGTACAGTCTGCAAAGTAACTAGTTTCACAAAGTCAAAAAATATCTTAGCTTTAATTCTTGTCCCTTAAACTGACTTCATCCTACATATATTTCCTCTTTTCCCAGGCATTTAGCCAGACTACTTTCATTGTTTTATGGAAAATGGTAAGATTTTGAAAAAATAAAAGGATGTGGAATTATCTAAGGGGCCAAGAAGGATTTTCAAACAACAACAACACATTAAACCTAAATACAATTGCCCTGCAAATTAGCCAAAAAATGCTTTTTGGGGCAGGGAAAAGTAATCGTATTGAAAATAACGAAAATGAGTCAACATATCAATACAAAACCCTGTGAAAACATGCCTTTAGTACTCACATCATTAAAAAAAGGAGCAGTTTTGCCAAGATCCATACCTGTTCTACCCATACATGAGAAAAACAAGATGTCCTACTTACATTTGCATTCCATTATATCCTACACCACAATATGACAACAACAAAGCACACTTCTTTTTCCTTGGAACAACATTTGATTTTCCTTTATTATCATCCTCTGCTTTCTGGAGGTGTGACAGGAAAAAATGGAGTAACACATATACACTATAACTGTATTGCTGATAATATTAACTATGCCCTAACTGTACTATTTTATATCTTATTAATATTAATACAGCCAACTATCTTATAAGTTACCACCCTTGGTGCAAGACAAAGTGGTTGCTTACGGGAGACGGTCGTCTATAGGAAATATCAAGAAAATAAGCTCAAACTAAACTGATTATCTTACAAGCTAAAATGTAAGCAATCTACTTTTTTACCTACAGATTGTATTACACCGGTCTTTTTTCAAAGTAAGCTGCTATAATCTGTCAGCATGCTTGGTCAGTGCTATCAAACACTGAACTTTTGAGACATTTGAGCAATGATTCTCTTATTATCATGCTGGGTGGTTGCTTAAAGGGCAACAGAAAACAAAAACAATGCCAAATTTCTTGTTTAAAAAGTGGTCATTAGAAATTTAAGTAGTGGTCGCTTACGAGAGTTTTTGAAAAAGTGTTTGACTAAGAAACAAAATGATTATTTTCAAAGTGGTTGCTTATTGAAGTTGGTTGCTTACAAGAAGTGGTCGCTATGATAGAGCTGACTGTAATGCACACTTTCCATGCAGATATGATCAAAAGCACAATATTTGCTATCATGATTGAAGCCCTCAAATTTCTTTAAAGTTAAGATTTAATTAATATTTCCCTCTTTGATCAAAGATCATTACCCCTTTTCAACCATGAAAGGCCATTATTTGAACATTCAGAGTGTGAGGCTATCTTAAAAGGCAGGCTTTTTAAGCCATATGCCCCTGTGCCACCTGCAACCACTCTGTGCAGATCCATTTCCCTTGCACCGCTTGTGTTGTGTAAACAAATCCAGCTACAGCTGTAGTGGTCAGAGCGATCAGACTTGAAGGATAGGATTTTAGAGCAGTTTAGTCTGGGACAGCATATGGAAATCGGACCATTTAAATCAAGAGCAGGGTATATTAGTTATGGGGAAATTGATCAGTGGTTATGGTATGAAGAAGTAGCGTTTCTTTTTACAGTTGAAGGTTAGACTGAGAATTAGGGTAGGGATTTTAAGTCCCTGGACAAGGAGAACTATTTTGCAGTTGAACATGGTATGTTTACACTGAAGGTAAAGGGTTCCAGTCACAGTGTCCTTGCACCGCACATTACTGTACAATAATATTTTCAAAATAACTCTTTGAAAATAACACCTTTACTACATTTTTTCCCACTTCTCGGTGAATAATTGTTGCATGTTGAACATACCTCATCCTCTTGTTGTTCAGTTTTCACTCTTTTGATCAAAGCCTCATCTTCTATCTTAGTGTCATCCTGCAGTGGTCTCTTCAAGGTTCCGATGATCTCTTTCTCAGGAGAGTTATCAGATAGTTTCTCCTCCTTAACCTGCACCGTACACGTGTTATCCAACTCCGCCATATTCTCTACTATTACAATCCGTGAAGATGAGTTTAGCGTCCTTACTAGTTTGTTTATACTTTTTAACCAGAATAATGTATACCTCGCCCGTGTTGTGGCGTCAGGAAAACTTTTCATGAGCCAGAAATCGGAAAGAATCTCAGAGGAATACTATGCAGCTAGCACTATGAATTTTGCAGAATTTGTTAAACAATTCGAGTCCAGCGGCTATCTATTGCGAGAATCCTACTTCATGTAAGAGCTCCCTCGTCCCAGTTTCCCACTTGACTTCAGCTTCCAAGAAACTGTTCTTGTTGTTGTCCTTCAAGGATACGTTTTCCTTGTCACGTAGCTTTGGAACTATCATCATGCTTCGAATTGGATGTCCTTTTAGAAGCCTGAACACTTTCAATGTTCTTTCAAGACAATTGGTGAGAAAATATTATTTTATTGTATATAGTTTTAATACTGGCCTATAGCTCATAGGGATTACATAAGCCAAGCTCCCAAGGTAGGCGTCCGTCCTCGAATGCTGAAAAAGCTTAATTTCTGGACAATATTAAAAAAAAAACACGTAAGACATTTTAAGGGATTGGAAATCACGCCATTGTCCTAGGAAACAAAGTTATATCATCTTAGAAAAGAACAAAAAATCGGACTTGTTTTATAATGTTTTTTTCGCCACATACAGGTCCTTTCTTACATGCTATTTGGAGGAAGTAGTGTATTGGTTAACTTACTCCTCACTGGGAATGTGTTTCCCTCATGTCTGGTTACTTATCTGCACGCTTTATTTTAAGGTTAATGGTTCTTCCACATGCAGCCACAGCAAATTGAAGTCATTTGCTTGGGCAAAAAACAGCATATTTAACGTAAGTGTAATTTTTGGTGTTAAATATCATTAAGCTTAATGCTTCTTAGGCCGCAAGCAGTCGTCCTTTGTTCCTCTGGGCCATGCGAGGTGAGCGAAAAATTTCCTTTTTCCCTCAGAGCCATGCAAGGTGAGCAGAAAGTTAACATTATGCAAATTACTGGCAAAAAAGGAGGAGAAGTTGGGGCAGGGAGAGAAAATAAAGGATGACTGCGGAGGTTTTATTGTATTTTTGAATTATCATTTCAGTGAAACAGAAATTTTGATTGATCACCAACTTGTCAATCCATCAACAAAAAAAACATCTCAGTCCCAAAGGAGTCCAATTTTCATGGCGGCTTTTTGCAGCACATGGTAAACAGACACGTTCTGTAAACTGCACTCCAGTTTCCAAATGGAAGCCCAGGTCTTCAAGGAACCTGAACTATATTCCAGGTCAAAATATTTCCTCTTTTCACACCATAGGAATTTCAGTACATGACAATGAAAGAACAATATATTTCAAATAGTTTGCCTGGTCTATAATAATGTGAGGCTTCTTCCCGTTTTTGCTTTCTTTCTCGCTTACTTTGATAAACCCCATTTTTGGGGGGGATTTTCAGGATTTTTATGTCAGTCTTTCCAAATTAAGGTGCGTCGATGTCAAGCGTACGATAAACATAAGATTATCGCAATCGTTTAACTTTGTTCGTTACATGTATATGTTGCAGTTAATTTTTTATTTCAGTTAATTTTTGTTTTTCCTTTGTTTTAAATTCATTAGCGTACATTACCATACACCAAAACAATGGAAAAATAAAAATTAACTGAAATAAAAAATTAACTACAACATATACGTTTACATAAATGATACAGCAGGAGTTTTCTAGTATTACCTTATATATTACTGACCTAGGTCGTAAACGGACCGTAAACAGTTGACTCTTATGAAACTGTTTCAGATTCACAATTAACCCGGTTCTTTGTTGAGGATTTCAAAACGTCGACCCGGGCTGCCTTTGGGATTCGAAGGGCACACAGCACACACTAGCCTGCGTAGCATGGCGGTTTTGGTTGGGCGCGCTAAATAATAAAGGCAGGCGTGGGTGAGGAGATTAGGGCAGGAGCTGCTTCGCCGCTCGCAGTCGTGCTGCCAACAAAACCACATAAAACTGCCATGCCCGGAGGAGTACTTGGGTTAATTTTTGCTTGGTATGTGCCGCTGGCCTCTCAGAGCCCCATAGACCCCATCTTAGTCATTTTTGGACAAATATTAATTTTCGCGATCCCAACTTAGTCACTTTCTATTTTAATGAATGGACCATTTTTTAGATTGAGTGAAGAACACCTTACCTTTCATCTACAATACAAACATTCTGGTACGTTTGCTAACCGTAAATATGAAGAACTGTCTTACCCCAAAAGAGCAGAAAATGTGCGACCACATTCTAGTAACTCTCTGAAAATGCGACCCCATTATAGTCAATCCAGTCGTGAAAATGCGACCCCATCCAGCGGCACATCCCCATTAGCCTCTTATAAGGAAGTAGCCCCGTCCCCCGGGGGCCCATGCTACCTAGGCTAAGCACACACGAATACTACTACATTCTACATTCCTGCATGCACAACAAGAAGGACGAGTAATAATTTTTAGACCACACGATCTTCATAGATTATCTTTCGACACTACGCAATTTATAACGACCTCAATGACCTCACTATTTGCTGGAATATCTGATTGATCCCTTAATTGACCTTCTGGATCGCTCGCCATTGTTTTACAACCGGCACTAAAGTGGCGGTAACATCACAGGGTCCAGAGGAGTTTCGTGTGAATAAATGAATTACTTACCTTGAAAAATGTCTATACCTGTCGCTTAGCACGATTAATTAGCCCAATGGGATCTTTATAAATCTACTGTAAACGATTTCTTCGCTTCTTATCTGACCCAGATCGACTTTTGAAATTCAATAACCGCAAGCCATATCCTCTCTGGCGCACGGTACGTCGCCCGAAGGGTGACCGAAGGCGGTCGCCCTCCGGGCGACCGAGGCACGAAGTGCCGAGTAAAAGAAAGGACAAGGGAGGAAACTTGTACCACGTGACTTCGTTCTATGTGAACCGCAGCACTCGGTGACGGAAGTCGGAAAGAGACCGGAAACGCAAAAGCAACAGACCGCTGCTAATTCGAGAATCAAAACATCAGCTGCGGAGAGAGTTTTAAAGATCTCAGAGATCTATGCGAAAATAACAGAGTTTTAATTGAAGTGAAGATCTTTCAAGACTGGACATTTGTTGTACGTTTCAACAGTCTTCGATGTCTTAAGCAGGTTTTGCTTGTGCGAAGGCTTCCCAGTAGTCGCAAAACGCACAGCCAAAGACACAAGAGGTAATATAGTTGGATCACCGAAGAATGGCACAGTCGTGATGATATTACAGTTGCCTTGTACGCCCGCTCTACTCAGTGCCACTTTTTATTGTAAGAGTACACACCACCCGTAAATCACTATTCGTAATAATTTAACATTCTCCAAACAAAACTAACAAGCTGGGCCCAGCGTGATACAGCATTGAAGAAAAACATTACATTCACGGACTAAAGAAAATCGCTTAGTTATTCAGATCCAGAAGGCACTTTGGAGAAAACTGGAACCCTTGTTCAGCCGTAATAAAAAGCTTTACGCTTCAAAAGAGGTCAAAGAAAATGCGCTTGCATCAGAGGGCAAATCCTGCCGACCAGAAACAATAACCACAGTAAATCGATATGTGTCATGACCTCTCAGTGTGAAACATGCGGCTAAAATCCCCGCTAAAATCACATTTGCTGTAGAACCTTCCAGAGCATAATCTACCCAGCAGAGGAAAAAAACTTTATTGGAACGAGCAGCATTTTGGCATGAGGCAAAAGTCGTGTAGGCTTCCCTTTTATTGCTCCGATCTTGAACACATTTACTTTACTACGTCATTTCCGTCACCATCTGTTGCGGTGCACACCAAACGAAAGCGCTCTCTAGAAGCCGTAAATTTCAGTCGCCGAAAATGAATTTGAACGCTTTCTTATGCTGTTTTCCTACAGTATTTGGCAAATACATAAGAATTCTAGATCAGGTTAGTAAAATCAGGCGATTTCATTCAATTCCATTTGAGTTTCAGGGATTCGAAAATCGGCCCCAAATTTGTTTCCTCCCTTTCCGTATTTTATACTGTAAGCCGATCTTGCGAGCCCTCAGTCTCTTAGTTTGCGGTCTATAGAATGTGTAACGAAACCGTAACGCGATCAAAATAACCCATTTTTTCAGAGGTTTTCGACGGGTTTTGATGTTCTAACGACGAACACATCTCCTCTGGACCCTGTGGTAACATTGGTAAGGAGGTTAACCAAGCTAACTATTCCCACAAGGTCCATGAGGTTATAAATAATGCGACATGTTTACGTATCATTGGATAAAAAAAGTCGACGTCGTTAATCATATCAAGTATTAACTGAAATTTCAAGCCAAACGATTTGTCTGGACTGTTTGCGCAATATACGATCCCCGACTGTGCAACGATAGGAAGACACGCAGGTCACGCAGGCTAGCTAGGGAGACCTTTTAGGATTTGTATCCTCTTGTGATGAAAAAGAAGCAGATCACCATGACACAATGATTTTTTCACCGCCTACTGCGACATAAAATTTAAACTTACCGCACACCGCTTGGACTCTGAGAACCGCAATACCATACTTTGAAACAAAAATTGCCGCAACACCGCACCAAAAATAACCCAATACCGCAATACCGCAAACCCTTACGCCCCCCTCAGGTGTGAAAAGTGGCAAATCAGCAGATAAAAGATCCCATCACAGTCTCTTATTTTTTCTTTGCTCGGGCTCCACCCTCATTTCTCACAGCTTTGCCACTCGCCACTCGCGTGTACCCTCAGTTCTCGTACTCTCATTCTACCGTGTCTCAACAGAAAAATAAGAGACTGCTCGCAGTCTAAATCCTTTTTAAAGTGAGACTTCAATTTGATGTTTAAATTTGACTGTGTTTTGCTATCAGACAAAGTTGTCAAGCATGACAAGGAAATGCAAAAAGTTTGTGACAATGGAGGCTTCTGCTGCACCACCAAAAACAGCAGATTTACTACCACAAGGAACTAGGATAACAGGTACCAGGGAGTATTAAAGTAAACTGAAATTTCATTTTGTCAAACATTTTACAAAAAGAAAAAATCTGATTAGTAACTACAGGTAAATGCACTAACTTACTTTTAAAAATTAAAAGCACATCTTGTTATTTAAAAAAAATAAAATTATTCTCTGCTTGTATTTTCTTGGATTTCTATATTTATCTTTAATTATTTTGTGTAGGATCCATGATTTAAGCTTTGAGTAAGTTATCTAATTTTAGCACAATTATACTAACCCATGAATAGAAGCTAACCTACAAGTATCAATTATTAATAAGTGACTGGAGGAATAAGCTGAGTGTAAAGTGCACTGACAACAGGGACGCTGTCATCCATAGTGCGCATGGCTAAAGTGCACTTGCCTTATTCATTGACGACAACCCCCGCCCCCCACCCCACCTCAAGATCTAGATCCACTATTGTGCAATACTGTATGTGAACAGATTTCAACTAGACAGCGGAGCTACAAATTACAGTTATTGGAGAATGTCTGACAAAAAGGGGGCACAAATTTCTATCTTCAGTCAGACATGATTACCAGATGGATCAAAAACTAAAAAAATATATCATTTTGTAGTTAATGAATAACATAGTACTAAAAATACTCAAAGTGAATGTAAATTATGTCCAACAACTTTTCTGGTTTATCCAACTTAAGTAGCAACTTGGTTGCCTATATTTCCTTTCTGAAGAGATGAATAATTTTTGTTCACAGTCCTGGGAAAGATGAGATTGATTGTTTGCCTTAAGAATGTCTGTTTGAGTTTACAGCTTTCTTGTTTTATGAAGGTCAAATTGTTTTAATTTTCCACCTCTGTACCCCCCTTTGTCGCCAGGTTACTGGATGATTGGTTGTGCTGGCATGGTGATAGGCTCTGTAGTGTTGGGCGGAGTCACACGACTCACTGAGTCTGGTCTTTCTATGGTCGACTGGCATCTCATAAAAGGCATGAAGCCGCCAAGAACGCAAGAAGAATGGGAGAGGGAGTTTGCAAAATATCAGACATATCCTGAATATAAATAGTAAGTTTCTCTTGTTGTTGTATATTTTTCTTTATTTAAACATATTTTAGTGATGAAGTTAAAAAAACTCATCAAAAGGGCTCACTTTGCAATAACATTTAAAATTTAAAAAAATTACGTTAAATAGTTATTAGTCAGAGCAGAAGCAAAACAAAGAGGATATTATTAAAGGAATGCTAGCAGGTGGAAAATACATATTTAGGTACTTTTATAAAATCTCATCAATTCTGATATAAAAGACTGGACGTGAAAAAATCAATCATTATTTTGCTCTGGAGACAGTAACAGTTATCCAAACAGAAAAACTGATACAACTTGTGCTTTGGACATAAAAGACCACTTGTCATCAAATATGCAGGTAGCAGAGGAGAGCAGATTAGTTCTAGGGGCAGAGTAAAGTGGACATTCAAGAAAAAAAGTGCTTAACTGTCTCGTTGTGGAAACCATAAAAACAGACACCGCTTTGTATATTTTTTAATCATCATAATGTGGATGGAGGGTAGGTGTACTTGTCCAAAATACCTAGATACCGGTACACGCTGCCAGTGGGGTTGTAATCTTAGTAATCCTGTTCTAGTAGAAAGAATCCATTTTCAAAAAGTTTTATAGTGTGAAGTTCAATATGTCAAGTGGATGGAAACTTTTAATTTATTCATTATCATCATCATGCTGTGACCACCAGAGTGGATGGGACATTCACGCCATGGAGATTTCTTTCCCAAACACCACAATTCACTATCAATTAATACTAGTCATGTTTTAATCACCTATGATAAGGTATTGAAAATTGGCGTATTTCTAGAACAGGTAATACTTTGAATGCAACTTTTTTCGTGAAATGACTCTAAATTTGAAGACCTGGGCCAGGTCGTTTAAGCTTAAAAAGCAAATTCAATTTAATTCGTTTTGTCTCCAATTTGATGTGAAGATGCTCTAAAAAGAATAGAGAAAATTATCCAAGAAAATGCTTTTGAACAAAAGATAAAGAAACCCAGTTCAAAATGTAACCCTGGATTAGCGCTGATTGGCCTTCAAACAACTGGGCCCTGGGCAACACATCACCACCCAAACTCCACCATTAGTAACTGCTCCAGGGATTTCATTCATAGATATTACCAACATCCTGTTAGTTTACTAAACTTTTTAAAAGTTTACTAAAAAAGTTCTGAATAAATTGACTTTTTTCAAACATGATTCTCTTTAGAAAAATGGAAAGATAGTTATGTTGTTTTATCTTTCATTTTTCTTTTAACTGGTGGTAAAGTGCCAATCAAGGTCCCAAAATCTACCATTTTGATTTCATCCATAGATCCAGAAGTGTCACCTATAAAATTAAAAATTGGATTTGTCATGTTTTACATGTGCCAATCAAGGCATCTCTTTGACTGAGTTTAAATGGATTTGGTACATGGAATATGCTCACAGGATGTGGGGTCGCTTGGTTGGTGCTGTATTCTATCTTCCTGCTGCTTACTTTTGGTATAAAGGTTATTTTAACAAAGGACTGAAGATCAGAGTTGGGGTGTTTGGGGCACTGATAATGTGTCAAGTAAGATTACCTACGATTTTCAGCCATTTCTAGCATATTGTAACTTCTCAATAATTTCTGTAATTCTCGTGCATCTAGGCTTGTCCACTTATGGTTTCCCTGCATTGAATGTTATATTCATCACTAGATGTGCCATTGTTGTACACTGTAAAATGGTCAGGGTTGTCACTAAAATTTTAAGTTGCTGGGTAAATACAAGACATAGGCAGGGAATCAAACACCTGGTATTTCGTTTGCTTCTATATTTCTTCTATTTTCCTTTGAAGGTAGCCAGGGGCCACTTTCATAATAGCCTGGGAAATTTCCGGCCCCAGACTCTTAATGAGAGCCCTGATGGTTATAGGACTGAGTGGAGTCAAATTTGGCCTTTAATATCAAGTACATTTTCTCATCATTGCACGTTCTGTCTAATAAATTATGCTGTAAAATGCAGAAATAATATCTACCACAGTGTATAATAGCCAACAAGATTGGATAATTCTATTTTAGTTCTGATTAAAGTGGTATCATCAAGCAACAAAATGTCAGCAGTTAAACTAAACAAGTACATGAGTTTTTCTTTTTATCTCTTATTTGTAAATAATTTTAATTTTTTTGTTGTGTTCCCAATTAGTTGTGAAAACTAAATACATTGACACATTGATAAAGCTGTTACTTACATACTTACCTTTGACATCCATCAATGATCTCTTCATATCCCTATAACTGCTAAATATTATTGTTTGTATTTTGTCATTTTAAGGGTTTGCTCGGCTGGTATATGGTAAAAAGTGGACTTGATGAAGAAAAGATTAGCAAGACAGAAATTCCTCGTGTGAGCCAATATCGACTTGCAGCTCACCTTTCAATGGCCTTCCTTCTGTATGCTGGTTTGGTGTGGTGTGCACTCTGTCAGTTTATCCCAAGGCCAAAGGTAAATTAGTACACAAGTTTCTCAGGTGTACTCCCTGTAATTTATTGGTGGCATAGTTTATAGAGCAGAAAAGTCTTGTGGCCATTGTGTTAGCTTTGCCAACAACCGTCTTTAATAACAGATTTACCACAGATATTTAATTTTTTTCCAGTATGTCATGACACCCCAGTTGAGACGAGTCAGGTGGTTTGCTCATGTTTGCAAAGGTTTTGTGGGTTTTACCGCAGTATCTGGTGAGTCAAAAATAACATAGAAACCTACAAAGTAGAACCTCCATGCTCAGTGGGACTGGAGTAAATAGTGTGGAAAATCAAATATATGAATATTAATGACTTTTTTCATGCCCTAATTTTATCATTTCCACCACAAGTCTGTCTGTCAAGACTAAAATTTGTTCATCTGTTTTCTGTAGAGATAGACTGTGAGTAGTCTATCTTTTTCTTCAGATTTAGTGAGGGGAGTGCAGGCATGCTCAAGTGTCAAGGCGATAAATGAGGGCGGCAGCCCGAGAAGAAGAAAGAAAAAAGTGTCTTTTTGGTGTCTCTCCTGTCTCACACCTTCCGTCACACAGGTGGTCATTTGCGTCTCTCGCATGTTTTGCTGGAGGGACCAAGAAAAAAGAGAGACTGCTACTGCAGAGAGCTCATATTATATGAAGTTGAGTCAGGGCTTCATCACTTACAATGCATGCAAGTGCTACTGTTCTTTGAAAGGGACCTTTGAAAGCACTGATGACACTCGAGTAACTTATTGATCAAAGCTTTTTACCCCTCCCTCCTTAGGTGCCTTTGTTGCAGGCTTAGATGCAGGTCTGGTCTATAACTCTTTTCCCAAGATGGCTGATCGATGGATTCCGAGCGATTTGTTTGCTCTTGAGCCAAAGTGGAAAAATTTCTTTGAAAACCCTACTGCAACACAGTTTGCTCACAGAATTCTTGTGAGTAGTTTCTGTTTAATTCATTTTTTTAGCAGATCTATTTTTGTCATACCACAAATTTAAAGAAGGCACATTTTTTCGTAGCCTGAATTTCATCCGCTTGCTTTGAGTTGTTTTCTCCTCAATAATAATGACTCGAAGTAATCGGATGAAATTCAGGCTACATTTTTTCGATTATTTCTATTAAAAATAAATATTTTGGGTGGGAGTGTTGTCTGACGACCCCTGCTTAAAAACATCAGTTGAGTAACAAATAATTCTCATTTTTTTGGTGCAACATCCTTGAACGTCATTAAAGTTACTCTTGCTGTGACAGCTCTAATAGTGGTAATTTTGTTACAGGGTACAACCACAGTGTCATCTGTCGCAATCTTGTTTCTTCTTGCAAGGCCTCTAACACTGCCAGGAAGAGCCCATTTAGCACTAAATTGCGTGCTGGGGGTGGCTGCTGGTCAGGTGAGGAAGCTACAGAAATGATACACCACATGTAGACACTTAAAACCCGGGGAGAGGGGACCCACATTTAGCCTGCGTCGCAGACGTAATTTTACCCCGGTTAGTGACGTCTGCGAAGCAGTGCAAAGATCACTGTTCTGTGCCCCCAACGGACTCAACGAATTACTGGAAGTGCATTTCGAATTTACTTTCATCCTGATTGGCAAATCGACAATGGCTTTTTAACAGGCCAATCGTGAGGGTCCTCAATAGGTTTTACGGGATTCGGGATTTTCCTTGTTTGAAGCTCGGGATTCGGGATTTAAGAGCAAAATCGAGGCGAGATTCGGGATTGAAAGTATGCGGGCGAGGTAGAATGCCCGAAATAACCCTCGGGATTACGGGATTGCACGAAATTTTAAGTCGGGATTACGGGATTGAAGGACCCTATTGGGGACCCTCAATTATGATGCATACACAAATTCTGGTACACAGGTGGGGACCCAGAACAAGGATTTCGGTTCTGTTTTGCAGACGGACTGCACCGAGAAGTTTAGTTTTCGTCTGTGGCGTAGGCTAACCTACATGGGAGTTTACACTAAGAGACATGTACAGCTACAGCTAAGGCTCTGCCTCGTCCACAGTCGTTACCGATCACTTTTTGGAGAATATTGGTGTTAATTATTGTTATTTATTGACCAGACTCCTAAAAGCAAGTGTCATCTAGGACTACGTCCCCTTTTGTTGCAAAATAGCTCAAAATTGTTTCAATTCAGTCTTTCGTTTTTCTTTGTCTTTTCCAGGTTAGCCTTGGTATTCTCACGTTGCTGTACTATGTACCAACTCACCTGGCTGCCTGCCATCAAGCCGGGGCTCTTTCACTTTTGACAGTCGCAGTGTGGCTTACTAATGAACTCCGCAGACCTCTTGTACCTAAATGAGAGCTGCTTACATCTCAATTTGGACTGCTTGAGGACCACGCCCTTTCGTGATGGCCAGGTAAATGCTCTTTTATCAGAGCACAATTGAAAGCAGCACTAAAGGAAAAAAACCTTTGTCTTAAAAGAACTGTCAACGTCACCAAAAACATTCTGCAAGGGTGTGGATTTTTATACAGCGTCTCTTCTAAGCTGCGTTGAGCTGGAAGTGTTCCTCGGCGAGCTTACCACACAAACTTTGCGTTGAAAGTGTTCCACGCCGATTCTGGCACAAACTTTGCGGTGAGAATCAGGAGGGGCAAGCTCAGATTTTTGCTCGTTTTCCCAGCGTAGCTCGCAGGGAAACGCTTGCAACTTTTTTCATGAACACTGCCTCTAAAACGGCATGTATCAACAAAGACGAGAGAATGTAGAACTTGCAGAGGTATTTATGTAAGTGTATGTAAACTTTGCTGTAACTTTTGACTATGTACGCTGTTTCTTATAAGTACTGACAACGTGTAAAGTGCTAGCCAAAATAAAATTTTTTGACAAAAAAAATGAAATTTCAATTTGTAAAATAGCGATGAAGAGTAATAAAGTTGTCGTTTGTCTCACTATGCAGTTGATTGCAGTCGTGGCTTTGTGCAAGTCTTCTTTAGGCGATGACGTCGAGTGATTGCGCAGTGCCCTTCAAACAAACGCAACATTGTTTGCCAACGACTCCCAACATTGTTGAATGTGACATGTTGCGTCCGTTTGCACACCCTCTTGCGTGTTGTTGGGAATTGTTGCGCAAAGTCTGAAACCGGTCAAATGTTTAGCTACGGCCAACAATCTTGGTAGTTGTTGCGTCCGTTTGCAAGCAGTTTTGGTATCACCCTCTACATAGACCTCAGTCGTATAAACCGCCAACCTCGTTCCCAAGCTTCTCTCCTACCCGTTTCCCGCGAGCGAGGTAGATATCTTGCGGGTGATTGTGATTGCGTGAATAACAGTCCGGATTATCTCGCACCACACTGAGGTCTAGATAGGTGTGGCGCGAAGTAGGGAGCGGGAACAAAATAAGGAACCCCTACCACTCGCGTTCCGACCTTCCTTGTTACAAATAGGGTTGTTGCAAGTTGTGCGAATACAGACTTTTGATTGGTTAAAATTACGTGGGTGTCACGCTGTAAACAGAATCTACGACACTTGTTGCAAAACAAGTTTGCCTTGGGTCGGTAAAAGGCGCAACAGATTTTGTACAAATTTTGTTGCAAAAAGTAGAACATCTTTTTAATCTCTCTGCAACTCTCTGCAGCAACTTTTCGCAACCTGTAACCACCTTATTTGTTGCAGAACAATTTTGGCGGATTCGTAGTGGAAAACTCACAAAATCGCTATTCAACTCATTTTGAAGCAAAGTTTCAAAACAAGTCACGACAAGTTGCACGTTCTTGTTGCCTGTTTGACCGTACCTTAAAAACATTAAAAATAAAAAAAATATTCGTGTAAAGCTCTTATTTTCGGTTTGCCTTGGTGTTGTCAAAAGCTTCGGTAAAACAAGCAACAAAATAGTACAATTTGTCTTGCAACACTTTGCAAAACAGTTGAAACAAGAAGACGCCCGAAGGCGCTTACGCGGGATGTGTGGGTTTAAGAAAGAATTACGGGTATGTTGGATGGAAATGGAAGTTGAGTAGTACAGTGAGTAGTGTATGCAACAAATGTGTGCAGGAGAGACGGAGATGTTCTGTTAAGGACTAATACACTAGAAGATGAGTTACACACAAGGGTTCCTTTGCTACTCAAAACAAAACTTACATCAATATTACCACCATATATGTTAGGAGTATGGGGTAGTTCACTAAAATTTGCATTCGTTTACTAATGTCCTCAAAAAATGCACTTCCGCATTTAACAATAGCATCTAATGTATCATACTTCCAATAACTACAGGGCTGCAAGGAAGTGCTCTAGGGAAAATTTCAGAGAGCACTTTGGGCTCCCCAAGCATTTTTAGCTGGGGTACCCGGGCCTCTAAGTTGGGCGCCCAAATTAATAAATCAATGAGCTGTTAGTTAATTATTAAACATTAAACAAATTATTTTCTTAACAATTCAAGCAGAATTTTGTGAATATTTTTTTCCTGAAAAATCACATCCCTTAGACCTCCTGTGCGTGCGAAAAAAAAAAAAACGCATGTTGTCATATGAAAGTAAGTTTTCGCGCCATATGAGAAACATGGACAACGCCGAACATTTCATGTGTTTTAAATCGAAAAATGAATTTGGGGTCAAAAATAAGGGCACTATTCTTTTTACTAATCATTTTGATTTAGGTTGAAAAGAAAATTCGCTTGTTAAGATTGACTGAGATCCCGTGGAGCTTTCCAGGAAAACTGTTATGATTTCAACGAAACCGCGGCGCCCCCGGGGGAGTTACTTGCGTTAATTTTTGCTGGGTATGTGCCGCTGGCCTCTCAGAATCCCTACCCCATTATAGTCTTTTCTGTGGCCAATATTGTAGACCCAATATTAGTCACTCTTGGGGAAATATGTAATTTTTGCGATCCCAAGTTAGTCACTTTCTATTTATGTATCTACCTTATCAAACCTTTAAATAAGTCATCAAAAAATGAATTTACCTATTTTTTTAATAAATTGAATGAAGAACACTTTACTTTTCACCTACAGTACAAATATCCTGATAGGTTTGCTAACCGTAAATATTAACAGCTCTCTTACCCCAAAAATTCGAAAATGTGCGACCCCATTCTAGTAACTCTTTTGAAAATGCAACCCTATTAATATTCAATCTAGTCGTGAAAATGCGACCCCATCCAGCGGCACATCCCCATTAGCCTCTTTATAAGGAAGTGCCACCCCCCCCACCGGGAGCCGTCCCAAAACTATTCTCTTTTGAATAGATCATCTTGTTGTAAAGTCGTCGTTTAAGCGCAAAACAGAAGTATTTTCTTTCTATATTACCGGTGAAATGTTCAGGACAAATGTAGATTCGGTTAGCTTTTGCGTATTTATTTTTAGTACGTGATACGTAATGCCTTGTCACGACACGAACGACAATGCGGGATTTTATAGATTTATACCCCCTTTATACCCGATTCTAGAACAATCACAATTATGATAGTCGTCTCTTTTCTTTTTTATGCATCGTATTTTACTGGAATAACAATCTTAGTTATGTTTTATCCTCGCAGACACAGCAGTCAAAAAAGGTAAAAATATTTAAAGAACATAGAAGACCCACTCCCTTGTTTATTCAGCGATTTTTCAAAATACAAAACTATTGTTTTGCGTCGCCGACCGTACTTCACGCCTGTCAGAGCAAAAGTAACAACTTGTTTAAAAAAACTAACTAATGAACAATCCTAATTTGAAGATAAAATTTCAATGTTACTATGAAAAGCTGTTACTATCGAAAACTGTGCAGCTTGTCACGTTCATAGTCAAGGATTATGTTACATGTGAATTCACGTGAAACGACCTCTGAACATCAACGCGTGCCCGCTGCCTAAAGCTTGTTGGTAAACATGCTACTTATTGCTACTTACAGAGTCGACCTCAAGAGTTTCTTAGCGAGAGGAGCGTTCTTTTTAGGCCGCGAAGACACCGAGAGAGCTACGATTTCGCAAGTAATAAATTCTAGACATTCTTAGCTTTTTGACCGTAACTCAACAGAAACAAGAAACCAACACCAGCAAGTCGCCCGGCTGGGCCACCTAGACAATATTTTCAGTCGCCCGAGGCCAAGTCTTGCGCCGTATTAAGAGCACGGCCTTGAGTCTTCGTCCTCCTCTACACAGTGAGCTTACTTTTCCCTCCTTTGCTGACGCAGTATGTTTTATCGGCTTGTGCAATCCAGCCTGACTTGCACGTGCTTCGACGTTGGGGCCAATAAAAATCCACACAATTTTTCGGGACGGGCACGGGATACGGGAAAGTTAAAAAAACAAGGCAATTTTTGACTCCCAAGACGACGAAAGGAATGCGCTACCGAATTTTAGACGCCGGCTGACTACGTCATCCCGCGTAATAAAAAACGACGTTGCGCGTTTTACCACCCTTTAAGTCTGTCAACATTGTTGCAAGGCAGGATTATTAATGTGAGTGATAAAACGCGCAAACGCATCACTATTCAACTGGTTTTGCAGCAATGTTGCAAGACAAGTTGCAGTTTTTTGTTGCCTGTTTCACCGTACCTTAGGGTTATATTGTGTTAGAGTTTACTATGATTTCCATGCAAGATTATGATTTTTCACTCCAGACAAACGAAGACAATTAAAATTTTCTGTCGAACCTCTTATTTGCTACACTCGCATTTACTAGGGAGCTTAAGCAACTACGACGACGACGACTACGACAACTTCAAAAAACAATAGGTTTAATGATCAAAACAACAGCTCTGCACATGCATCACGCTTTTTAGTACATTTCGTTGACGTCCACTGCACGACTATGACGTGAAGCCTCCTAAATTTTCGTTTTATGGAGGACGTGGACATACGACGACGAATTTTCCTTCCTCTTTTTGAACTTGAATAAAAGAATTCATCTTCAGGAAAAGTCTCCTGCATTAACATATTGAGCGGGTCCAAATAGACCTGATTAAGTTTGAAAGAACGCAAATTCATTTTTTTAGCGACGTTTCCACTGCCGTCGACGTCGTCGTTGGTTAAGGTCCCTACTACTGACATCTGTAGACGGTGGCCTCTAATTGATATATAAGCCCGCAGGTTTCTTCAGACCCCAATAAAAAAAATGATCATTTTAATTTTTTTTTAATAATAAACACGTGGAGAGAACACCACTTGACATCCACATTTTTTTAATAGCTGTTGCAGTGACAGATAAAGACCGACGTGAATTCATAAGGAAATTGAGTAATTTTACTTTTCAGTGGACAAAAACCCTGTACAAGAATATTTTAAGCCATATGGCATTCTTCTTTACAGTTTTGAAGGGCTATAAATGTACTAAGTTATATGAAATAACACCAAAGAGAAAATAAATTTCAAATTTGACAGGAATTGCGAAAACACAGGTAAAGACGTCATGCGTAAGATGATTTCATACATAACATATTACATTCATAGCTCTCGAAAGTGAAAAAAGCCGAATGCAATATGAGCGAAATTATTCTGGTACAAGGGTTTTGTCCACTGAAAATTAAAATTACTCAATTTCCTGATGGATTCCGTCTTAATTGCTGTAAACTGATCGTTTCCAGAGTAAAAATTTACTGTAGCCACCACTGGTTTATTCGCGAAGTGAAAAACGGATGAGGTCATTTCGCGGTGAAACCAGTGTCGTCGAGAAATGTGGGCTGTTTTCTCGGGCTAAATTTACAGCAGAATATGCTTTTTTCAAATCGATCCGTTCCAACGGGATATTGTAACACACTTGACTGCTACGAACTTCTGGATCAATATTGAGAGTAAGAAGGGGTTGCAAATATTGGTCAGTGCGATGAACTCCCATATATGCCTTTCTAGAGTTCATAATTCTATTTATTCTCAGTTCACAAGCCCCAAAAAAAGCTACTCTTATCCAATATTTACCCTCCGTAGTAAGCACAATCAACATCTGTCCGGAAGTGCGGTTTTTGTTTCTATTTCCTACTTTTCTATTTGTATTCAAAATGATATTTTAAGTGATGTTTAGAACTAATGGTGAATGTAGCCCTTTTAAATTCAACAAGCTTTCCGGCTACACCAACCTATATTTTAAAACTGATAGTGGATACAAACGAATAGAGTGTGCCTTTAAAATGAGTGCGCCATTTAGATGACTTTCAAATGAGTACTTTAATAAGTGCCTTTCAAATGAGGACACCATCCATAATTTGATCTGTATTCATTACCAGTTTTTAGGTTTCCCTTCTGAAAAATACTTATCTCCCTTTTCTTTTACAAATGACAGAGGTGATAAAGGAACCCATTTCAAATAATCAAACGTTGTCTTTTTTCCCTCAGGCTTACAGCCCCAGCAGGGATTTTTTTGGCGGGTAGGAAAATTTTGCTACTTTTTTTTTAGGTGGCTTGATTTAAGTTATGGGCTCCTGTTAAAGGACAGGGTTTTTTAGATATGCAAAACAATATGAAGATTCGTGGTAGTCTCTGCGTATCCCGATCGCGTAGTTCTGCGAATAATGAACAACCAAATTTGTTTGTTAAGGCTCAGAAACTCGGCATGGGATATTTTGGAGGTTTAGGTTTGGTCCTGGGAATTTTGGAGTTTTATTGGAAGCCCTAGGGATTTTTTCGGGTTGTGATTTTTGCCCCCGTTCGACTCACCCCTCGTCACTTGAAATCCGGAGTACGCTCAGAACTTTCGCGTTCGCCTACTCGCTGCTTAACGATCAGATAACCTAAACGCCCGCAGGTGACTGAAATGGTTAAGTTAAACCAAGAGCCATAATTTTGGTTAAACATACTCCGGGTTCCCAAAACCTTAATACACTCATGACCCTCACTCGTAAACTATAATGGAGCAATCTTAGAGGATCTGCTCAGTGTCTGCTAATACTTTTTATCATGTTATGTTAAAAGGTACGAAACAAGACATTGTTTGAGTTTGAAAGTCTCAAGCAAAGCAGATGGTGCCCACCTCTATTAAACGACTGTCATAGCTAAATTAGGCCTGATTCAAATGGGGTGCTAAACGCGTGGTCAAGCTGGGTTTGAATTGTAGCGCGAACTCTGGCTAGCGCCACTTGGTTTCAGATGTCGAATTTAATTCAGCCAATTGTTTTCAAAAACAGAGCATAAAATTAAAAACCGGTTTAATCAACTTTAAAAATGTTTTCATTTTTATATTTTAATACAGAGGGGACACACGGCATTTGTAATTTTAATGCATTTTATATAAAATGTAATTGAGGCATTGACGTGGGCACGGCAGTAGCTCGACTTTGTTTCAAACGTCGTGCCACCGCCTTGTTAACGTCGAATTAAATTCGGTCAATGGAGTTCGGCACGGCAATGGCTAGCTGCGCAGCTGGTGGTTTTTTAGGCTCCTGAATCGGCACCTGGTGTGATTTTCGTTTTTGTTTGGTATCTATATACGGCCGCGGGCGGGGTCAAACAAGAAAAGGATGGTTTTCTGGTTCGACCTCTGTTCAGCTTTTGCCTGGCTGTATCTCTTAACAATTTACGAAGGCTAAGAACCACAAAAGAAAAAACATACAAAAAAACTGCCAGCTACGCAGGCTAGGCAGTAGCAGGACGTTATGTAAATGTTCAAGTCGTTTAGTGAAATCTTAATACGAAGGAGACGGAAGCCTTTTTCGTTCAAACAATTGTCGCTTTTCTCTGGTATACATGTACAGTTAATTGCTGAAAGCTCTTAACAACCTGAAACAGACTAATCAACCGTTTAAAGTTGGTTTTTACTTAACTCATTGCAGCTTCTAATTAAAGTTAGTTTTGTCTTACCGAATTTTAGTAATAAGTACGACCCTCAAGCACCCTTTTTAGCACAACAGTCAGACTTGTGACTTGTTCTCGTTAAAAACTTATTGAGAAATAGAATGTGAATCACTCTCTTCAGCTGTGGGCTATATTATTGAAAAGGAGAAATTTCAGCTTGAGATCAAAAGCATTCGTTTTGAAAAAATACGTCACCACAAACAAGACCAAATAATGAAAGGTGACGATCCTTTGCAAATGTTTGAGCGAAGGATAAACGAAAACGATGAGGTTTTCTTAGTAACAATTTAACAAATAAGAAGGGATTTGACGTTTTAAAATTTTTTCTTCAAAAATTAAACATTACAATTGATGTAACCCCAGATGCTGTTTTTAATTGTGACAGATAAGCCGAACAGATAAAGTGAAAAGTTTAAAGGTAACTTAGGCTGGCAACTAGGCTACCAATCAAAGCAAACAAATTCAGTTTTTAACTCCCACTACCACAATCACAGGGGCACCCAACGAGAATATAGCTCAAAACCACTTAAACACAGCATTGTTAAACGTATTTTAGTACTTAAACGGTAGATAAAGGCATATTTTTATCCCCTAAAAATTTTTCATCTGTTCGGATTTCCGAGCTGAAAGTCTAGTGATCCCAAAATTATAGCCATCAAAACTTACCTTTTCAATTATTTTAGCCAGAAAAAAGGCTTCCGAAAATTCTAGGTGACCTTTTAAGAGTAAAAATCCGTTAACAAATGGGCAATTATAGTAGTTTTTAGATGTTCGAAAATCCTAGGAGGGGCAGGCAAAATCTCAAATCGTCTTCCGAACAGATATTTTCCGAAAATTGTCGTTGGGTGCCCCTGCAATCATGACCTTTATGGCGATTTCTGGTGGTTTGCTTGGTGCAAAAACTTGAGCCTGTGTTATAGTGTCCGTATAATAGGTCCGCAATCAGTGCACAATCTACGATGGCCCATAGGTGACATCCCAAAATTTTACACTATTCAGCAGAACTATTTTGAGCTCGTGATAATTTATTATCCTGTGATAATGTTATCCTGAGATAACACTTTTATCCCGTGATATTTTCTTATTCTGAGATAATACTTCATCCCGAGATAATTTTTATCCCCAGATATTATTTTTTTATCTCGAGATAAATTTTTATCCCGAGATAATTTTTTTATCCCGAAATAATTATTTTATCTCGAGACAATTTTTTATCCCGAGATAATTTTTTATCGCAAGATAACTTTTGTATCTCGCGATAATTTGTATCGCGTAGCATGGTGGTTTTGGTCGGGCGCGCAAAGAAAAGATGGGAGAGGGCAGTGAAACTGTGAGGAGATTGGGGCTTCGCTGCTCGTTCGTGCACACTTCGGGCACGCCGACAAAACCGCCATACGCAGTCTATAAATCGCGAGAAAACAGCATTCTTTAAAAAGAAAAATAAAATAGACCCCGACCCCGACCCCGGCCTCGAGTCCGCGTTTCACAACCCTAGAGATAACTATTTTTAATCCCGCGATGTCTCGTGACTTAACAAGCAAAGATGGCCTTTCCTTCCACCACCTCAATGAAGCCGGTCAAGAGCACCCCGCAAAGGTTCTTGGGATGCAAGATACAATATTATCTCTGATATTATCTTGAGATAATAAAATTGTCACGAGTTAAAAAAAATTATTGCGGAATAAAAAACTATCTCGAGATGTAAAAATTATCTCGGGATAAAAAAATTATCTGATCTCGAGATAAAAAATTAACTAGAGACAAAAAAATATCTCGGGATAAAAAATTATCGGATTGAAATTTATCTCGAGATAAAAAAAATATCCTCGGATAAAAAAATTATCTCGGAATAAAAATTATCTCGGGATGATATATTATCTCAAAATAAGAAAATATCAAGGGATAAAAATGTTATCTCAAGATAACATTTACACAGGATAATAAATTATCACGAACTCGAAAGAATTCTGCTGAATAAAATTTGGAAGAGTGTAAATTTTGGGATGTCACCTATTGGCCACCGTATCCGTATCTGTCATGTAACCTGTGATGTTATTAGCTATAAAGAAGAGAAAAAAAGAACCGACCCCGACCCCGAGTCTGCGTTTTACTGACAAGAGCCCATCTCGAGATATCTCGGGATAAAATATTATCTCGAGATACAAAAATTATCTTGGGATAAAAAAATTATCTCGAGATAAAAAATTATCTCGGGATAAAAACTTATCTCGGGATAAAAAAATTATCTCGGGATAAAAAATTATCTCGGGATGAAATATTATCTCAGAATAAGAAAATATCACGGGATAAAAATGTTATCTCAGGATAAAATTGTCACAGGATAATAAATTATCACGAGCTCAAAAGAGTTCTGCTGAATAGTGTAAATTTTGCGATGTCACGGCCACCTTAGATTGTGCACTGATTGCGGACCTATAATACGGACACTATAACGCAGGCTCAAGTTTTTGCACCAAGCAAACCACCAGAAATCGCCGTAAAAGTCCGGAAACCATCGGTGCGGGGTTAGATGCCTCCTCAGTTTTGCTGGAATATGGCGAAGATTTCTTGGATTCTCGTCCTAATTTTTCTATGGCTGTCGGTTTTTGTCTCTGACACTGCTATGGTTAAAATTCACCGTGCTATTCCGAGAAATTCCAAGCTAACGCGAGCAGAACCAGAGCCGAGTTGGCTCGGATTTGAACCGTGTAAGTTTCTACCCGATCTGTCGACAATTTTCATCAACAAGGAAGCGTGGTTGTATTCTATTCCAGCAACGATCCTTGTGGGGCTGTGTGGCATCTTTCCTCTCCTTGTTATTCCCGTTGAAGCCGGCCATGCTTTGCGAGAAGGAGGTAAGCGTTCTTGAAATGTAAAAAATGTTCTGTATCGCAGAAGAAACTGCTATGCAACGAATCGCGCGATATCGTTTTTGTTGTCAGGGTATTTTCCACAATTACACGACGGTGTAATAAAATTTTGGCATGGAAAAAGGTTTCGATGAGTTAATGTTGAAACTAGAATGTTCTTTACCAATTTGAATTGGGGTACAACTAGCGTGTGTTACGAAATTTTTGAGAAGAAACTTGATCTTAGGAAAAGTACAAGGGATATCAAACGCGGTTTTACCAGCTGTTCTCGTTAATGAATAGGACATTGTGTACATGAATTACGGCTCTCTTGAAATTACGGCTGATGTGTGAATTTGTCTCGTTTGAGTTACTTTTCAGAAACGCTATTTTGCTTTAATATTTGCTATTGAAGCTGACTGCGAAGTTTCAACACGGAAGCTTTCAATATTAAACCAAACAATACAGAGAACTCTTCTTAGAATTGATGCAAATCATGATCGAACAAATTTAAATTGTAAGGCTTATTGTCATGTTATCCTCAATTTATGTTGAGAGTCTATTTTTTAAAAAGCTGTCGCAAGTGGAAATATTCATGGGTGTAAAGAAAATGTCAGCTCGTGTGATATTTTAAGATCAGTTAAGTTATATAACTATTTTTTGATACATGATATAACTAGTCGTTTCATATTTCCCCTGGATGCTAAAAACATGACGCATGCATTTTGCACGTTTCGTAGAAAAAAATGTAGCAGTACGCATGCAGAAAGCTGTTTTCTAAAGGGTCTGTCTGGTTAAAGGAGAAAAGTCTTTTGTTATTAAAAAATTAATGCAAATTTCGGTCGGCGTCGCGTTGCAGCGATTTATATGGAATGTTGTTGACTTCCATGTTATCGCTGTACGCCCAGCCTTAATATCGATTGCTCCTTTGAATTGGAGTAAGTTTTATCAAAGTACTGCTGGTTTTTTGATGATTACCACATTCTTGCTTTTAAATACAGCCATTTGTTCCAAATTAAGTATTTCTGTTTGGCCCATAATTTCTTGTTTTTCAGACAAGAAACAAATTAGCATGATAATACGTTAAAGGAAACGGTCTATAAAAAGAACGAGCTAAACTTCAGAGTACCCGGCCACTTCTATATAACAGAAGTGCCTGTTGTGTTATACCTCCTTCTTTAAAGCATTCCAACAAATATGTAAATAATTTGGCTGGGTATTCTGAAGTTGCTCCAAAGAACAATCAATCTCAATCGCCCTCAGGCTAAAAACACTACCAGAAGCAAGAATTTAATGTGTGTTAACTTCACATTACTTAGTTAGTGGCCCCGGCTACTTTTTTGGAAAATAGAAGAAAAAAGAAAAAAGAAACATCATTTTTTTGGGGTGACAACCCTGCTTAGTTAAGATTTTTTAAAAACATCATTTTGGGGGGTTTTGCAAAAGGAAAGACTACCACTCCTTGAAGTGTATAGCTAGAGCTTTAGATGACATAAGCTGTAGTTTTGTGTGGTTACATTGGTGAGGT